TCCATGACTTAACGGCACCTACATGTAAAGAATTGATCAGACTTTAGGGCTAAATAAGGCTACGTTCAGACTGCAGGGCTTAACGCTCAATTCGGATTTTTTTGTGAAATCTGATGTTTTTGCGAGGTCGTTCACATTTCCAGTTAAATGTGACTTGTATGTGACTCCAGTGTGAACATTAAACGGCCCAAAAGTGTCCCGCATGTGACACTGGAGACACGACGACGTCAACCGCAGCGAGCGTCTCTGTGTTTACGGAAGTTGTCCAAACATGGACGCAGCATCGAGCACCTGGAGATTTTAAAGTTCCTCTCGTACCGGAGCCACAACATGAACAACTTACTTGTTTTAAGGAGGAGATTGAGAAGGAGAAGGACGAGGTTTTTGGTCGTGGTGTTTTGTGGTTCAGTCCGTTGAAAGGAACATGTGGATGTGGAGACGGAGCCAAGAGTGGTGAGTGGTGATGTGCTTCACTTCAGTGACACGGAGTTCATTAACAATTTTCACCTACTTCAGCGCAGAATAGTGACGTTTGTGTCTTGTTGATAACGTGTAGGTGGATGAATGCACTTTGGCCGTTCAGACTGAAGTCACATGTCAAAAGATCAGATATGTATCGGTTTCAGGAGCACATATCCAAGTGTCCTGGGTCACCATTTAAAAAAAATCAGATCTGTGTCGTTCAAACTGTCATTAAAAGATCAGATAAAGGAACATAGAGGCCAAAAAATCAGAGTTGGGTCACTTCAGGCTGCAGTCTGAACGTCGCCTAAGAAACGTTAACACTTTCCTCTCACTTTATGGTTTGGTATTATAGTTTTTAACATTCAAAATACGGTCAATGCATGAAGGCAAATTCGCCTCTGACAATAAATCTTTCTAAAAACTCCAGCTACAGTGGAGATTCTGAAAAACTATGGTCAAAATTGTGACGATGATGATGCAGCGTCAAAGCAGCAGTCGCATTTCTTCAGGTGAAACACTTTTCAAATCCATGACCAGAGACGAATGAGGCTCAGAGGTCAGTGATTTTACCACTTTTTTAACAGATCCGTGGAGAGGCGAGCCCACTCAGTAATGCACATTTCAAGGTATTTGTGAGTAAAACTTACAACTGTAAAGAAATAAAAGCTTGAATCTAATCAAGGCGCCGCCGAGAGGTTTGTCGCTGTTATGACGGCGCTCAATGGCGGATTTACGCGGTTTAATGTAAACGAAAACTTTTTTGAAAACAATGTTATTTTGGAAAACAGAAAGAGGAAAATATTTGTTTCTCAACACACCCGGGCCTTATTGTCGTCTCTTTATACAAAAGGCAAATACATTCGGAAATCATCATAATAGTGTCATGAAAACGTTGTAGTTACGTGAAATAGATACTAAAATTCCATGACTTTTCCAGGATTCCATGACCGTGGGAACCCTGTATGTAACTTTTCGGTTGAGGATCACCTTCTTGCTTCTAAGAAACATCTGACGGACCATCCACCAGAAAAGTGACACACCAAAGTTGTAAAAGAGATTTGTGGCGGTCAGAGTGTTTCAAACGTCTGGCCTCCAATGCAGCGGCGTCCAACTACATCAGAAGTGTTTAGTGCGATTTCACGTGGTCTTCACACAATTTTTGAACGCCTAAAACGGGCATTAGAAAGTTTTCTGTGTTTTTCAGACAAGGCAGCGACTTCTCCATGGAAACAAACGATGAGGCGGTGGACCCTCTGCCTTTTCCGGCACCGTGGTTCACTTCAGCTTCAAACGTTTGGCTTGGTTTCACTTTTGTTTGTGATGCTGTGAGCGCGTCATCCGTTCGCTCCCCACGCAAACTCAGTCGTCCTCATAGAACGATAATAAAATCTGGAAGGTGAACCCAAGACGGCGTTGTTTTGTTTTTAATGGCCTGCGCTCAACGGCCCCTGAATACTGGCCTTACGCCGCAAAACGTGTGGCGTCAGAAAGCTACTTTTAGCCGCTTTGATAATTTAAAATTTTAAAAAAGTTCATATTGTAAAAAGACAGAAGAATCCCTATAAAATCCGACCTTTCTGAAAGCGGTCGATGCCCTGACAGTCGACCAAGAGGAGTTTGATTTCACAAAAAAGTGCATTGCGCTCTGTGGGTCGATTCTTTCTGAGCCGGAGCTGCAGTACCTGGAGCGGCCACTAGTCGATCTCGCTCACAAACAGAGGGGGGAGGGGCTTATCCAGTTCTTATTACAGATCCATGGTTCAATCACAACTCAATCAGTGAGTGTTGTGCTAATAAACCTTTTTCACAACGACCAGAAGTGTCGCGATGTAGAGTAAAAGTAACTCCCGGGTTAAAGTTTTTCTACGACAAAATATCTGTAGAAATGTCTCGCGAGGGGGTGGGACCAAGTCGTTGTTTTGCAAGTCTGACCTCAAGTCCGAGTCAAGTCCCAAGTCAAATACAGGCAAGTCCAAGTCGAGTCTCGAGTCCATAAGTCCAAGTCGTCTGCTTTGAGCTTCAAGTCATTTCAAGTCTTTAAACCAAAAAAGTACCAAATATATCTTAGATTTTTGCAATTTATTTGAATTTTAAACTAAATTGTTCTTTAAAAAAATCATAGTATATTTATATATGAGTATTTATAGAGGATATAAGAGTTTTAGAAATGTAAATTTATCCTTTTTAAATGTCTTGACAAGATCTTAGAGTGAATCATTCCGGTCAAAATAGAAAGAATTCAGATTTAAAAGTGATTCTCAAGTCTTCTCAAGTCACAGACCTTCAAGTCCAAGTCGAGTCCTAAGTCTTAGTCTATTTTATCAAGTCAAGTCCTAAAAATAGTGACTCAAATCTGACAAGTCTGAGTCCAAGTGACGTCCCCACTTCTGCTCTCGTGTATTTTCCACCAGCTTCGTAAATCTGCCCCATCGCCAAATCTTCATCCAACAAGGTCGACAAAGGATAAACATTCTGTCCATGAAGAATTTATCCACAAATATGAAGGTAAGAAAGAGGAAAATGTAAAGGTGAACAACGATGACGCATTAGTGAACGACTGAACAAAACTAATGTTATGGTCATGAATAAAACATAAGTAACTTGTTCACTCAGACTGATTCTAGAATTAAAATTAAAAATTGATTTCATGATGTAGCCCAGTGTTTCCCAAACTTTTTTTCTGGGGACCTATATTTTTCATGACCCAAGTCAATAGACATTATTTGTAAATCAAAATAAAGGTGGATTTGACCATTATTGAACATTAATGAGGATATTTTATTGTTGACTGAGTGATCGTGTCTGAACAATTAGTATTACTCAAGTTTTAAACAATGAAAAACAGTCACTGAAGCAGCAATAAAAGGATCCACAAGTCGACTATTTGGACATTAAAGGTTGTATAGAGGATTTTCCAAGGAACGAGAAATCCAGCGACTGTTTGTCCTTTTTCAAATGTTGCGCATGCGTGAAACCACCTCCCCTCCCCTACAGCTCCTACGTAGAAACGCCTCCTCCCTCCTCCTCCTTACGCCAGAAACAGGTTTGTTTACAGCCGGTGCTGCACATGACTTGTAAACAACTAACTACAGTGTTGGTTAGGCAAGACGGAGAAGTGAGAGGAGCGGGGGGAGCGGGTGTGCGGACATTTCGTGCGCGGATTCCGGACGAGAAGTGAGGAGCAGGGGAAGAAGAACGGATCGGGCAGCGGAGGAGAGGAGCAGGAAAGGGGTGCAGAGAAGGTTGCACGGAGATTCAGTGCGAATGAACTAGCTACAACACGCAGCAGCAAGCGGACTCTTTCTTTGCCTTGAAAATTACGTTTTCAGACATAGGATATCGCTTTCGTGTCCTGAAAAACGTTTGTCGAGCTCTTGGAAATAAAGTACGTTTTCATAATAAGCAGAAGTTTCCTGTCCAGGAGTAATTTGTGGACCAGTGCGTCAGTCTTTAGACCCTGCGTCTGCTTCAGTCGCGCCATCGCTGGAATGAATCTATAAGAATCACCTTAGTTTGGCTTCGCTGCTTTTCCCTTGTCTTGTCTTTCTGGACTTTCTTTTGCGGCGAACTGCTCCTGGATTCTTGTCGCCATTGCAACAAACTTTGTGCGAACTGCGAGGAAGATATAGGTCAAAAAAAGCCGCTAAGAACTGTTGCGTTGGTGGAGTAAACAGCGTCTGTGCGTCTTGCGTCTGTGGACTGCGTGACAGTCGTACGTAAACCACGTACCGGCGGCGCAGGCAAGTCAGTTACACTAGAAACGTAGGGAGATTGATTGACAGCCTGTCAGCTCACAGATAACGAGGCAGTGTCGTTATCTATTGGCAAATGTTTAGCCCCACCACGTCCAGAGTTGATGAATTTTTATTCTCTTTTTTTTGGTCATCATAATTACAAGGCGACTGCATCTCTATAATCTATCATTGACAACTTGAAACAAAAAAAATCCTCCATACAACCTTTAAATGAAGCCCTTTTTTTTTACTTTTCAACATTCAACTGAACCAGCAATATTGGAACAAAATAGTCAATAAAATATTCATCAAAAGATTAGAAATTAGCGTGTTAACGGAGCAGCGTTGAGTTTGTTTCTGAGTTTTGTTTTCATTTTCATGAGCACAGAAAATCCCAATTCACACATAAATGTAGTGGTGAAAGGAATAAGAATAGAAATACTGTCAGAACTGTATATCGCAGACCTACATGCAGATCGTGACAAGGCGACCCAAAAAAAAAAATCTCTTGTGATCCATCAAAGAGTCGCGAAAAAGTCTTTGGGGAACAGTGATGTAGATTTGTGCAGTTTAAATGTGAGACTTGTAATTTGTGAACATCTGTAGCATTTAAACTTAACAAATCTCTCTGTTGATTTTAAATTTATTTTAATCCTAGAATTCTAGTCTGAGATCACAAATTACTGATGTTTTATTCATGACCATAACGTTACTTTTATTCAGTAGTTCACTAATGCTTCGTCGTTTTTTTTCTCCTTTACGTTTGCGTCTTTCTTACCTTGATCGTTGCGGATAAATTCTTCATGGACAGAATATTCTTTTGTCCTTTGTCGATCTTGTTGGTTGAAGATTTGGCGATGGGACAGATTTATGAAGCTGGTGGAAAATACACGAGACATTTCCACAGATATTTTGCGAGAGAAAAGCATCAACCGGGAGTTTCGTTTACCGTACATCGCGACACTTCCAGCTGTCGTGAAAAACGTCTACGAAAATACAGCACATCACATCACGTTTGTCGAGTTCTACTGCGTTGTTTTATATCCTGTTTTTGTATATTTATGGAGAATTGTCGTGTGGGAGCGAGGGTGACGTCCAATCTTACAGCAAATCACGAGGAGGGGTTTGAATATGGCCCGGGAGAGATCGCTAAATTACTCAAAACATGCATGGATGACGTCTAAAAGCTCTTCAGGCGTGTTTTTGATGAGGGAACAACGTTAGAACACGGGAGAAAGCTCCAGAACAGTACCTGAAATCCATGAATATAATGAAATGAAGAAAAGCGGACGAAACTAAACTAAAGTACTCGATAAATCTGAATTCAAGTCATGTGACCTTCAGTACTGTAGTTGATCCTTTACGCGGTGGGAGTTTGGATCACATTCAGAGTTCATATAGTTCATAGACTGGCGCTCCTCTTGGAGAATACTGATAAATGAGATGTCTGTGCGATGTGCGGCGGGGAGCGCGTCGGGCCTGCGGCGGCGGCGGCTTTGACCCAGGACGCTGGAGCAGGCGCTGGCTTCTCAACGCCAGGTCCAGGCTCCCCTCCCCCCCCACCGCTGGCCTGATGGAGAACCGCAGCTCGGACAGTCCCGGGGTCAGGTGGAGTCCATGAGGGGGCGCTCTTCAGGGGGATTTGAGTTTTTTGGTCCGAGGCGAGGCTCCGTTTTCCGCTTTGAGGACGCCGTTTTCGTGGTGGCTCACTGGAAGAGAAGAGGAGGAGAGGTTTTAATAAGAACTGTTACTTTAAAACTGTAATGTGTTATTTTTATGATTTGTTTCTGTTATTTCAAAGTGATTTGTTACATTACAGTATTACTGTTTTTAAAATGTAAAATATTACACGACTATTGCAGAACTTTACTCTCAATAAAATAACTGCGAAGATGCAGAACTTTTGCGCCGTATATGGACTAAACCAGGACTAACCAGGACTAAACCAGGACTAAACCAGGACTAAACCAGGACTAAACCAGGACTAAACCAAACCAGGACTAAACCAGGACTGAACCAGGAACCAGGACTAAACAGGAGGACAGGACTAACCAGGACTGAACCAGGACTAAACCCTAGGACTAAACAGGACTAAACCAGGACTGAACCAGGACTAAGGACTGAACCAGGACTAACTAAACTAGGACTAAACTAGGACTAAACCAGGACTAAACCGGGAATAAACCAGGACTGAACCAGGACTAAACCAGGACTAAACTAGGACTAAACCAGGTCTAAACCAAGACTAAACCCGGACTAAATTAGGACTAAACCGGGAATAAACCAGGACTAAACCCGGACTAAATTAGGACTAAACCGGGAATAAACCAGGACTAAAAGAGGTCTAAACCAGGACTAAACCGGGAAAAAACCGGACTGAACCAGGACTGGACCAGGACTGGACCAGGACTGAACCAGGACTGAACTAGGACTAAACTAGGACTAAACCAGGTCTAAACCAGGACTAAACCGGGAATAAACCAGGACTGAACCAGGACTAAACCAGGACTAAACTAGGACTAAACCAGGTCTAAACCAAGACTAAACCCGGACTAAATTAGGACTAAACCGGGAATAAACCAGGACTAAACCCTAAAGACTAAAGACTAAACTAAACCAGGACTAAAGGACTAAACCAGGACTAAGGACTAACTGGACCAGGACTGAAAACCAGGACTAAACCGGGAATAAACCAGATTAAACCGGGACTAAACGACTGGACCAGGACTGAACCAGGACTAAACTAGGACTAAACCAGGTCTAAACCAGGACTAAACCCGGACTAAATTAGGACTAAACCGGGAATAAACCAGGACTAAACCAGGTCTAAACCAGGACTAAACCAGAACTAAATTAGGACTAAACCAGAGCTGAACCAGGAATAAACCAGGACTAAACCAGGACTAAACCAGGTCTAAACCCGGACTAAATTAGGACTAAACCGGGAATAAACCAGGACTAAACCAGGTCTAAACCAGGACTAAATTAGGACTAAACCAGAGCTGAACCAGGTCTAAACAAGGACTAAACCAGGACTAAACAAGAACTAAACCAGAACTAAACCAGAACTAAACCATGACTAAATTAGGACTAAACTAGCTGAACCAGGACTGAACCAGGTCTAAACCAGACTAACCAGGAAACAGGAAACCAGGAACTGGACTAAACCAGGACTAAACAGGACTAAACCAGGACTAAACCAGGACTAAACAGAACCAGGTCTAAACCAGGACTAAAAACTAAGACTAAACCAGGGACTAAACCAGACTAAACCAGGAAAACCAGACTAAACCAGGTCTAAACCAGGACTAAACTAAACAACTGAACCAGACTGAACCGGACTAAACCAGAACTAAACCAGGACTAAACCAGGACTAACCAGGTCTAGGACTAAACAGGACTAAACTAAACTGAACCAACTGAACCAGGACTAAACCAGAACTAAAACAGGACTAAACCAGAGCTGAACCAGGTCTAAACCAGGTCTAAACCAGGACTAAACTAAACTGAACCAGAGCTGAACCAGGACTAAACCAGAACTAAACCAGGTCTAAACAAGGACTAAACCAGGACTAAACAAGAACTAAACCAGAACGAAACCAGAGCTGAACCAGGTCTAAACCAGGTCTAAACCAGGACTAATCTTGGACTAGGACTTGGAATTTAGAACCGCCCATGAGAGAACCCCGAGTCCGTTGAACAACCCATTCTATCAGACATTTTGACGTCTGATTTGACGACCTGCACGTGAGTAACACAGCGCAGTACGACACGGCTCCACACAGTCCGGCCGCACTCACAGGAGTCCCTCTTGAGCGGACGCAGGGCTTGCTTGGCCGCCGTTTTCTTACGCAGCGCCTGTTCGTGTCGGAATTCTCTCCATCGACGCAGCTGGAAGCGGATAAACTTCCACAGGAGCCACGACTGAGTGAGACACACCAGCAGCAGCACCGTCATCCTAACAAACACACACACACAATGTTCACTTTAAACTCATCTGAGGCGGGATTTGAGCGCCAGACTCGGGACGGGACAGACCTTATGAGGACGGTGTTGAAGTTCCCGGAGTCCCAGTCCAGGGCCTGGTTTTCGGAGCGGGCCAGACCAAAGCCCACAGCCAGGAACATGAGGGTCAGGGTGGACATCCGCGTAAACACAAAACTCACCGCCCACAAGTCGAACCTGATCACACAAACAACACGAACATCGCAAATACCAAGTCAAGATCATTCAAATTCGGGTCTGGTTAAAGTGAGACTAAAAACTAAATCCACCTTTTCTCATAGTAATATCCTTGGCCAGAACAATATATCAATAGATGCATCACGAATTTCAGACTTCTGATCATCGGGCAATGCATTTTGGGAAGGATCCTCCGAAAAAGTGAGCATCAAACCGTCATGTTTGTTTTCCCAGTTGGATGCGTCTATTGTCAAAGTCGATCTTTTCAAGTCTTTTGAACCATGTCGCTTTTGTTTCTGGTTCTGATATTATCATATTTTAGTTTTGGGATTTGGACATCGTTAATTGTGTGGTTGTTGGATCCTAACAGCGGAAAACGGCTCGAGAAATTTGTTTACGAACTTCATAAATGCAAAAGTGAATCAGATGTGTGTGACTGCAAACCTCCGTTCAAACTGTTTCCCTTCCCAACGGAATTGAAAAATAGTGAAAGGTGAAGGCGATGGGCAGGATTGATCCACAGGAAGGACCAAAGAGGAAACATTTGACTGACTAAATCATCCCGAGTTTGCAGTGAACATTTTGTATGTGGAAGCGACGACAAAGCAAAAGCCTGATTCTTCGCTCAACCTCGGTTACGAATTTAAAAAGTCAACGCCAAAGCGAAATGCACCAACTGTTCACCAAGAAACACCTTCCACTGCAGAGAGACCAAGACGTGATGTTGCTGTAAAACCACAAGAACAAGAAAGTGCAGCTCAGTCTGTTTGTCTTCTGAACCTCTCGATTAACAAACGGATTTTGCTTTGTTGTCGCTCCACATACAAAATGTTCTCTGCAAACTCGGGATGATTTAGGCAGCCAAATGTTTCCTTTTTCGTCCTTCCTGTGGATCAATCCTGCCCATACTGCCTCAGATCTGATTCCCTTTTGCAGTTATGGACTTCGCAAGAAGAATAATGTTTGAAAGAAAACTAATCTCGCATCGCATGAACTGTCACATGTTAAGGGACTATTTTCTCATATATCAGTCCGCCGCTGCCAAACTTTCTATCAGGAAGCACAACTCACTGCTGCTGCTGCTCAGACATAAATCCTATAAATGCAACTTTGGTTTTACTTCTAAAATTATTCTATCAACACAAACATTTACATGGACAGTCTGGAGTGATAATAGATTTGTTTCGGGTGTTTTGTGGAGTGGTTAAGACTGTTTTTAGTGGCAGGAGAACTATGACCATTGACATGCACTAGTCTAGCACCAGCGACCTCTGCAAATACAAGGACTGGATGGAATATTTTAAAAAGTGTCTCCACACGTCTCCAACACTAAGAAATGAGGCCCTATGTCCAAAATTCCAGACTGTCCCTTTAAAATACAAACATTTTGGACATGAAGGCCAAGTTGTTCATGTTATAATTTGGTGTTTTGGTTCTCAAAATATTCAATCAGAACATAGTACGAGCCTCACTTAATGGACTCTACCTAAATCCCAGCTAATCACGAATCAAGGGTCTTTTACTGACCAATAACGGCATCATTGTTTTATTTTCGGACCTTCTTTTGGTTAATTTAACTGTATTAATCTGCACGAGGAGGCTGCTGTTGTGATTTCGGGCTCTACAGAAATAAATGTAATTGAAAAAGACCCTAAATGTAACGGCGCAGGACAGTTTTACGCTTGTTCGCATAGACGGAGGTGCGTACATTTTGTGGTGGTTCTCGTCGGTGAAGTAGAAGAGCCTGGCGATGTGGAAGGCCAGCTCCGACGTGTACTGGAGGAAGAGCAGCACCACGCCCACACGGCTCAGACTGGACACACAAACACAAAAACACAATATGAGCACGGATACACACACTGAGGACGCATTTAGAAACATGGACATTTAAACAGGACAACTACTGAAACCAGCCCTGGGATAAATTACCGTATTTTTTGGACTATAAGTTGCACTTTTTTTCACGGTTTGGGTGTTTCCTGCGACTTCTATATTAAAATGTTCACAGTGAAGCGTGGAGAGGTTCTAGTCTTGTGTGTGAGTATCTGCTGCTCCTGTTCCTCCTGTACCACTGTCACTTGGCTCTACTGCGCATGTCTCCTGCAGAAAGAGCCTCTGTCCTGTCTGTATCACGTCAGTCGATCGCACCGTTACTTCTGCACCACTGAACAATTTAACATTTAAACAAACTTATAAAGACGACTGAGAAAACTGAACACAAATGCACCCGAAAAGAAAATCAGATTTTGCAGATTACAAACAGCAATTCGTGAAATCTGCAGCTGAAAACGGAAATCGAGCAGCAGAAAGAAAGTTTGGAGTGAGAGAGAAACTCGTGACACCGGGAGGATGAACCATGAAACTTTCCTGAAGTCACTGGATGGATGGACAAAGTCTGGACTTCAGTGACACCGAAACCATCCTGTCGGGATTCAGAAAGACCAGAATAATTCTAACTGGAACTGATGCCGAGTCTGACGACAGCAACACAGAAGAGGAAGCGGCGCAATGTTTACCTCCGGAGGTCGAGGCCGAGTTGTTCAGAAGTGACACCGAGGATGAAGAATTTAATTAAATGAATTTAAAAAAAAGCAGGTGACGGACCCCCAACCAAAAAGTTACAGCTTTATTGAACCTTTTTCTTTGCTACATAATTCCATACATCTTTCATCATATATTTGATGTCTTCTGTATATATGTAAATTTAGAAAGTAGTAAAGAAAGACCTGAAACCCTGAATGGGAAGGTGTGTCCAAACTTTTGACTGGTAGTAGTAGCAGTATTAGTATTGGGTTCGGTCAAGTGGTAACGGAGGGAAACAGGGTCAGATTTTTGACATTCAAATGTCTCTTATTCAGAAACTAGAGGGACTATTGAAATAAGTAAAGTATCAGAATGTAGGAAAGAGTTACACTCCAACAGGGTCAAGTTAAACCTGTGATATTCTTTCAAGTTGTTGACAAAAAATTTTAAAACTCATGTCGGTAACGGAGGGAATGAAATATGCAGCACTTTTTGGGCAATAAATCCAAACAGTGATAACTCTTGGTTCTCACTTACATATCCTTAACAAACTGGTTTGAATATTTGCTTCATATAGTTTTCTACCATATGGTACAAGATTAGGTTGAAAAACCTCTTACTTTTTTTAGTAATGAGATTTTTTATTAAGAAAGGTCATGGTAACGGAGGGAAAAGTAACGGAGGGAAAATTGTACAAACAAGTAGAAGGTGCAGGATTTTACATAATTTGTCGCTTTTTTTCTTCCGAATACTTTAATATTACTTCAAAATGAAAGGAAACTATTTCTATAAAATATGTCAGTCCTTCCAAGCAAATTTTTATCATTTTAAATACTTTTTTTTTTTTTAAATCATGTACCTTCATAGACTTCATAAACTAGAGTACATATGTATCTGTTGAATACATTTTTATATCAGATGCATTAACTTGAATTTTTGGCCTTGTTGTTTACTTCTGCTTGATCGGGCCCCATTACATGCGTTCAGTAGTTAGTAGTTGAGTCTTACTTTAACAAATAAGCAGCTGCGATGTGGAGCAGGTAGAGGCTGATGTACTGCAGCTGCCGGGGGATCTCCTCCTGCAAAACAAAAAGCCTTTATCTAAACTGGAGGATACGCTTTCACACCTGGCAACCCCCCGCTCCTGGCTGTTATACAGAATAAAAGTAGTGAAGTACTGTACTTTAGGTATCTGGACTTTACTTAAAAGGCTGTTTAGAGGATTTTACGAGGAAAGAGAAATACATAAGTTCATAATGTAGGAAACCAGCGGCTCACGTTACACACACACACACACACACACACAGAGTCCTCAGTGTGCAGTGTGGCGGCTCCCAGGCCCCTCCTCTCTCACCTTGCGGACCTTCTGGAAGTAAAGCTCTGGCAGCGCGTGGAGCCAGTACGCCAACTGAGTCAGGTAGAAGAACTTCACCTGGAACCTGCAAGAGAAGAACAAGAGGGTTTGGAGGTGAACTAGAGACGAGAAAATGTAGGAAATACCTGTATTTTTATGTAATTAAGTCAAATAAACTCAACTCAACTCAAACTCGATAAATAAGATGCTCAGAATGAGTCAGGAAAGTGAAGAATAACACTGAACGACACTAAAATTCAGCCTTTTAAGTAATTTCCTGTCAAAAAACCTTATCCCACACCAAATCACAAATAAATATGTGATTTATATTCAGATAAGCAACAAAGTAAGACCTTTTTCATACATATTATACTTATTTTATTCTACTACTGTGTCTGTATTATTACTGTTTGATGCACTGTGGACTTCAGTTGTTTTTGTGTTTACCTTAAATGTACGTGAGGATAGTTTTCCCACAGACTGCTCGGGTGTAACAGATAACCCTCCTGCAACGAGGAAAAAAACACACACACACAGAGATTTAAAAAGATTCTTATTTAATCATCAGCTGTAGTGATCAGCTCTCCTCTCTCTCTTCTCTCTATCCTCCCTTCTTTCTCTCATTGTCTCCTTCCCTCTCCTTCCTGTCTCTCCCTCTCTCCTCCCCCCTCTCTTCTCTCTCGCTTCCTCTCTCTCCTCCCTGTCTCTCCTTCTCTCCTCCCTGTCTCTCCTTCTCTCCTCCCTGTCTCTCCTTATCTTTTCTCTCTCCTCCCTGTCTCTCCTTATCTTTTCTCTCTCCTCCCTGTCTCTCCTTATCTTTTCTCTCTCCTCCCTGTCTCTCCTTATCTTTTCTCTCTCCTCCCTGTCTCTCCTTATCTTTTCTCTCCTCCCTGTCTCTCCTTCTCTCCTCCCTGTCTCTCCTTATCTCTTCTCTCTCCTCCCTGTCTCTCCTTATCTTTTCTCTCTCCTCCCTGTCTCTCCTTCTCTCCTCCCTGTCTCTCCTTATCTTCTTCCTGTCTCTCCTTATCTCTTCTCTCTCCTCCCTGTCTCTCCTTCTCTCCTCCCTGTCTCTCCTTCTCTCCTCCCTGTCTCTCCTTATCTCTTCTCTCTCCTCCCTGTCTCTCCTTCTCTCCTCCCTGTCTCTCCTTCTCTTCTTCCTGTCTCTCCTTATCTCTTCTCTCTCCTCCCTGTCTCTCCTTCTCTCCTCCCTGTCTCTCTCTCTCCTCCCTGTCTCTCCTTCTCTCTCCCTGTCTCTCTCTGTCTCTCTTCTCTCTCTGTCCTTATCTCTTCTCTCCCTGTCTTCTCTCTCTCTCTCTCTCCTCCCTGTCTCTCCCTATCTCTTCTCTCTCCTCCCTGTCTCTTCTCTTTCTCCTCCTTGTCTCTCTCTCTCTATCATTGTCTCCTCCCCTCTCTCTTCTCTCTCTCTCTCCCCCTTTCCTCCGTCTCTCATTCTCTCTTCTCTGTGCTTCCCTCTCTTCCCCCCACTCCATTCTCTCTTTCTCCTTCTCTCCTCCCCCCTTCTTCCTCTCTGTCTCTCCCTCTCTCCTCCCCTCTTCTCTTTCTCCTCCATCTCTCATTCTCTCCTCCCTCTTTCTCACTCTGTCCTCCCCGTCTCTCCGCATTCCCTCTCTTCTCTCTCTCCCTCTTTCCTTCGTCTCTCATTCTCTCTTCCCCTCTCTACTCTCCCCTTTCTCTTCTCTCTCTCTACTTCTCTCATCCCCCTTCTTCCTCATCTCTCCCTCTCTCCTCCCCTTTCTTCTCCTCTCTCCTCCCTGTCTCTCATTCTCTCTTCATTGTCTTTCCCTCTCTCCTCCCCTCTTTCTTCTCTCTCTCTCCTCCCCCCTCTCTTCTCTCTCTCTCCTCCCCCCTCTCTTCTCTCTCTTCCTTTCTCCTCCCCCTTGCCCTCCCTCCTCCCTCTCTCCTCTCTCTTCCTCTCTCTCTCTCCTCTCTCCTCCCTCTCTCTCCTCTCTCCTCCTCCTCTTCCTCCCTCTCTTCTCCTCTCTCCTCCCTCTCCTCCTCTCTCTCTCCCTCTTCCCTCTCTCCTCTCTCCCTCTCTCTCTCTCTCTCTCCCTCTCTCTCCCTCCTCCTCCTCTCTCTCTCTCCCTCCTCCCTCTCTTCCTCTCTCCCTCTCCTCCCTCTCTCCCTCCTCCCTCCTCCCTCCTCCTCCTCTCTCTCCCTCCTCCCTCCCTCCTCCCTCCTCCCTCTCCTCCCTCCTCCCTCCCTCCTCCCTCCTCCTCTCTCCTCCTCCTCTCTCTCCTCTCTCTCCTCTCTCTCCCTCCTCCCTCTCTCTCTCTCTCTCTCTCTCTCCTCTCCTCTCTCTCTCTCTCCTCCTCTCTCCTCTCCCTCTCCCTCTCTCTTTCTCTTCCTCTCTCCTTCCCTCCCTCCTCCCTCTCTCTCCCTCTCCTCCCTCTCTCCTCCTCTCCTCCTCCCTCTCCCTCCTCCCTCTCTCTCCTCCCTCTCCCTCTCTCTCCTTCCCTCTCTCCTCCCTCTCCTCCCTCTCCCTCCTCCTCTCTCTCCTCTCCCTCTCTCTCTCCTCTCTTCTCTCTCTCCTCCTCCCTCTCTCTCCCTCCTCTCCCTCCTCCCTCTCCTCTCTCTCCTCCTCTCTCTCCTCCTCTCCTCCATGTCTCTCCCTCTCTCTCCTCCCTCTCCTCTCCCCTCCTCTCTCTCTCTCCTCCTCTCTCTTCCCTCTCCTCTCTCCCTCCTCCTCCTCTCCTCCCTCTCTCCTCTCTCCCTCTCTCCTCTCTCCTCTCTCTCCTCTCTCCTCCTCTCTCCTCCCCTCCTCTCCCTCCTCTCTCTCTCCCTCTCTCTCCTCTCCTCTCTTCTCTCTCTCCTCCCTCTCCCTCCCTCTCTCCTCCTCTCCCTCTCTCTCCTTCCTCTCTCCTCTCTCCTCCATGTCTCTCCTCTCTCCTCCTCCCTCTCTCTCTCTCTCTCTCCTCCTCTCTCCCTCCTCCCTCTCCTTCCTCCCTTTCTCTCTCTCTTCCCTCTCTTCTCTCTCTCACCGTGAGGAGGACGTAGAGGCTCCACACGCTGGACACCAGGTGAAACACGCACAGTTGACCCGACTCGTTGAACTTGGTGTTTTTACTTTTGGACAGATGGAGGCGCCGGTTCACTTTCTGCAAAAACACAACACGAGAAAATCCACAATATTACACAAGAACTTTAACTCTAATATTTAATCTCTCAGACTTTTTGGGCAGATACACAGGACCACACCTAAAAAATAGACTTAAAATGACTCTAAACTCAATAAATATATAATAAATGCACTGGTTTGCAAACAATATACATTAATTTTTGACACTCAAACCCTTTTTTACTGCTTCTCTATAATAAACAGCGTCAGTTTAAACTAAATATGAGTCTCAGCAGGACGTTTAAATGACACATACGATGCTATTTTCTGATCTCTTATTAATAAATTTAGGCTACAAATATGAACCTTAGAGCAGTTTTGCGACGTATAAAACATAAAATAAATAAAATAAACTTTGAACGTGAAATAAGACATAGAAAAGCAAAAAATTATCCAAAATAAACTAAATATCCAGCTGTTCTACAAATAAATATACTTATTTATTTAAAAAAATACCCCAAAATAAACTTTTTTCAATTTTACAAGTTTGGAGATCGTTTGACACACAAATCGAAATCACGATCAAAATTCGATTAATTGCACAGATTTAGGACAGAGTGTAGCTTAAGTGCGGTGAGGGCAGTGTTGGGAAGTTTACTTTTAAAATGTAATCCCCTACAGATTACAGATGACACACCCCAAAATGTAGTTTGTAACAGAATCCATTAAATTACTTAAAGTGAGTAATGTAATCTGAATACTTTGGATTACTTGATTTACTGTAGAGAAACAAAGACGAGGAAATCTTCACATAAGATGTTTTGTCTGATAAAAAAAAATAAAAATCCCAGACTTTATTCAACCGTATTAAAAATATTATTGATAGAAGAGGAGACACGGTCCACGCGGCCTGGTTTAGTCCTGGTTTAGTCCTGGTTTAGTCCTGGTTTTAGTCCTGGTTTTAGTCCTGGTTTTAGTCCTGGTTTTAGTCCTGGTTTTAGTCCTGGTTTAGTCCTGGTTTTAGTCCTGGTTTAGTCCTGGTTTAGTCCTGGTTTAGTCCTGGGTTTAGTCCTGGGTTTAGTCCTGGGTTTAGTGCTGGTGTAGTCCTGGGTTTAGTCCTGGGTTTAGTCCTGGTTTAGTCCTGATTTAGATCTAGGGCATCCTCTGCATCCTCTGACCTTCTCCTCTGACCTTCTCCTCTGACCCTCTCCTCTGCATTAGAGGTAAGATCTTAAGACCGAGCCCAAGCCCAAGCCCGACCCGACCTGAATTTAAAATGTCAATCATTACTTCGGGTCGGGTCGGGCTTCTCTTTCGCTGACTTTTTTTCAAATAAATATATGTTTATAAAATGTATGCTAAAACGATGTGTGGATACTAAACTAAGGAATACTTGTTATAAAATAAATAATATGGATAAAACAGAGAAGTAATGTAATGTAATTGCTATTTAACTACTAAACAGGATCCGCAGAGCCAGAGCTCTGCGCACGTGAACGCCCCCTCTTAATTTAATCATCTTCCCCTCCGCAAGTCTGCATCTATTTTGACCTGGTGTCCCCAATATGGAGGAGCAAGAAGTTAAACTAAAGGCAGGAGAACTGAAAAGACAAACACGCACCGGTAAGAGTGAGGTGTGGAAAAGCTTCAAATTGATTGTTGAAAATGCTACAGAAACTTGCGTTGGCTTCGCTGAATGTCGTCAATGTGGCGCTTTGCTTTCATACGAGAGCAAAAAGACTGGCACCTCGACGCTGAGCACTGCTCCTCCTCCCGAGTCACAAATAAAATATGACATTTCGGGTTTGTTTCGGGCTCGGGCCTGCAAATCAAGGTAATTGGTCGGGCTCGGGCCGGGTCGGGTCGGGCTGAATTTTTTAGGCCCGATCTCACCTCTACTCTGCATCCTAGGCTCCTCTGACTTTCTGCTCTGTTCCTATGTTCCTCTGCTCCTCTCCTCTGACTCTCTCTCTCTCCTCTGACTCTCTCCTCTGATCTCTCTCCTCTGACTCTCTCCTCTGACTCTCTCCTCTGACTCTCTCCTCTGACTCTCTCCTCTGACTCTCTCCTCTGACTCTCTCCTCTGACTCTCTCCTCTGACTCTCTCCTCTGACCCTCTCCTCTGACCCTCTCCTCTGACCCTCTCCTCTGACTCTCTCCTCTGACCTTCTCCTCTGACTCTCTCCTCTGACTCTCTCCTCTGACTCTCTCCTCTGACTCTCTCCTCTGACTCTCTCTCTCCTCTGACTCTCTCCTCTGACTCTCTCCTCTGACTCTCTCCTCTGACTCTCTCCTCTGACTCTCTCCTCTGACTCTCTCCTCTGACCTTCTCCTTCCTCTGCCCTGTGAGAATATTCCACAGACGCGGTGAAAGCTGATAGGCCCGACTGTACCACACCTTACAGGAGTGGTATACATGCGCTCAGAAAAGCCCCAGAGGGAGGCTTTACTGTCAGATGGATGATCCGTTCACAATCAGGAAACACAAAAGCTTTTTACATAACAAGGAGAAGACATTCCTGTAAATACACTTGTCCCTGTAGCGTCACTGACAAACCGGTACAGCAAACATGTGGAGCTCGACAAACAAACTCTCTTCCTTCTGCTCGTTTGGGTTGCCACAGTCTCTGACCAGCACCAGCATGTCCTTAAATTTACTTTTTACTTCTTGTATTTCTTTACAAGTGATATTAAAGGTCCTGTATTACACAAAACTGACTCTTGTAAGATTTAAGACGTCTTATAATGTTGTTGCTTCGTCAAAAACAGACCCGGAGTTGTGTTTTGTTTCTTTCATGTTTGAGTAATGGAGTGATCTCTTCCACCTTGTGATGTCACACAGTGGTAGTGAACAAGTTAACAGCTCCTTTTATCTTTTCTTCAGCAGAGATTGGCCAATCCAGAACTGAAATGATCCAAATGATTCTAGTGAGGGTGTATGGTGTTTAAAATACAATGAAGTAGAGCTGGGCGATATGAAGCAATAATATATCGATTTATTTTGTTATATCTCGATGCACAATATATATTTCGATATCTGTACAGGAAAAATAACCCCCCAAAAACTACTGCAAAAACAAATATGCGAAATTCCACAAGGTCTTTTTTTATTGAAGTGCAAAGTGGTCGCCTTCATGTAGGAACAAAGTGCTTCTGCAACATGAAAAACAAAAATCTCTGTATCAGGGATGTGATTGGCCAAGGACAAAAAAGCAGGAAAATATATAGATCCATAATGTGGTGACGCGACAATGACGCGGCGCAGCATTAGTGCAGCCGTTACACACAATCACCTCATTTTGACACATTTAATGAAAAGTGTTAATATACAAACATTTAGTGGCAACTCAGAAATTTCACTAATGGAAAAAAATTAATTTGAGGGGAAAAAACTCAAATACATTCCAAAGAAAAGGTGCTGACATTTAAGGGAAAAAATCAAACAACTAAAGGACAGTGTGCAAAGAACAGAGAAAGACACAGAGAGAAAGATAGAGAGAATGAGAGAAAGAGAAAGAGAAAAGAGAGAGAAAGAGAGAGGAAGATGTTGCTGTGTTGGACAAAATTGTACTTGCTGTGGCAAAATACCACAGTCTATTTCCGAGCCAGTTTGAGGTATAATAAAGGAAATGATGATACAATTATGACAGTCCTTACAGTTTTTAATCGATATACACAAAGTGCAGCATGTATGATAATGTGCTATAAAACCTAGATAAACTTGAACTATTATTATTATTGTCATCATCATGGATGTTGCTGTTGTTATTGTGTAGTTATACACTATTATTTTTTTATGGTGCCTACACAACATTCTGTAATAAGCAATATAATAAGAGTGGGTGGTGGCTAATCATCTTTACCAACTCACCAACTCAACTCCTGAAACAGCCTGAGACCACCACAAATGAACTGTTATTATGTTATTATGTGTGCATATTCTTCATATTCTGTGATACCACCTCTGAAAATAACCTGCTTATAAGTATTTGTTAAACGATGCCGTTGGTTCAGTCCACAAACCATAGATCCATTTCTGGAAAGTATTTTTATTTAAAGTGGAACTAAACTAAATACACTTTTTTCACTATTAAACTGTGTATTACAGCTCTGCAAACAGTGCAGCGCGGGACACATTTTGAAAGCTCATTGCAGACGGGAGTGTGACTGCACAATGCGGGAGCAGGCAGGTGGGATGATAAACTTCAGTCCCGCAAACTAAATATGAATCTAAAATTAAATATACAAATGATTCATATTGGCCTATTATACATCATTTGTGCTGGATATTTTATTTGGCATTAATAAAAACATTTTAAGTAGCCTAAATTTGTGGATGTGCTCTAATCTCACGCACATTTTAGACAGTTCCTTTCCGCTTCTCCGTGTTTGAGCTTAAGAAAGTGAACGACCCCATCTCACGAGATTTGCAGCCGGCAGTGGGACAAAATATCACAGAGTGGGAATGAAAATTACAAGTCTGCGATTTCTCTTCAGGACCTTAAGCCTCTGTGTCTCATGACAAAGAGAAAACTGAAGGCTCAACAGTTGCAATGAGAATTACTGATGCTGGCAGGAGCAGGAGTGGGACTGAAGATTCTGTCCCGATCAGACCTCTACTGTGTGTCCCCCTGTAGTCCTCCAGGTCCTGCCCAGTTTAACTCTTTCCCCCCTGGACGCCGACTAGGAACAACCCATACATATGTTACTAGGGCTACACCCATAGAGCATAACTGCATAAAAGAAAACAGACTTCCACGAGTGATTATAAATGATTTTTACACTCATGAACTTAATTGTAACACAGACATATTTGTATCTCTGGAAACCTTAGACTCTGAACTCTTCATTTCTGAATGTTTAAATGTGATTCAACTCATTTATAGGTGTATAACAGCTCACTGAAAATGAGAGTTTACCTGGTCAGGTGCAAACTCGAAAACAAAAAACAATATTCAGCATCTGATATCTGCATGTTCTGAGTACTATATTCATATATATATATATAATATATATATATATATATATATATACTTTGTCAAAGTATTTAAACAGATTTCATATCACCAGCAGATACAGTATAGCCAAGTGTGCACCTGTTTTTACCTGTTGTTCACCTGTGTGCACCCAATTCATTTTTTTCCATTTAACTTATTCAACTCATTTAGCTTATTAGCTAATATAATAATATAATAATAAAACTCTTCCCCGTCAGTGAGTGTCCAGTATTTGTCATCTTGGTTAGTTTTCTCGAGTGCAGAGCTCCACATAAGCGTTTTTTCTGTAGTGATTCTGTTATACATCGCATCTTGGAAAAAAAGACTGAAAATATTTTAAAGGACTGGCCTGGGCAACATCCAGATTTCAGGGTAATTTTGGTTCATAATCGAGTATAAAGCTCAGATAGTTTGTTTGGACATCGCAGGACTCCACACAGACGCATCAGCGGCATCTCACCTTCTCCCCGAAAGTCCGTCGCTGTCGCTGTTTTCCACTTTATAATCAACTTCAACATCATCACTTTGAAATCTATAAAAGTCACTTTCTCTAAACTTATCCATAAAATACGTCCGCTCCTCATTATTTCTAAAACTGTGCGCCGCAGCGCCGCGATCTTTCCATTGCACGTGTTTCGTGTTGTGTTTTTTCTGGAAGCTACCATCGTCACTACTTCGATTAACTTCGGAAAAAAAACGGCGAAAACATATCCTTGAATCCTATTGGTCAGTCTAGTGTGGGTTGTAGTGGCCCCGACCGATCACAGTCTCTGTTTAAATGTGAAAAACCGAGCCGTTTCTAAAGGTCGTCAAATCTCGTCTTTAGTGAAACAGCGGAGGAGTCAAAAGTCGTCATTATGGGTTCAGGGGGGTCGTCAAATGTCGTCTTCATGGGGGAAAGAGTTAACAGTTCTACTTGTACTATGCGTGGTACTCACATCCAGCAGGTACTCCTGGACCACTGCATGGAGGATGATGACGATGAAGAAGTAGAAGAGCACTGTGGCTGCGTCCTTCCAGCCGTAGTGGTAAAGAGTCACCTCCCCCTCTGCAAACAGAAGCATCAGGACGATTCATTTAGAAAACACTGGATTATAATTCTAAATGAATAAAATCACAACAATTTCAGCGATAATACTCATTTAAATGTTGAGCTGAGGGATCACACATTATACACAATTAATCAATTAAGACTATTGTATGCACAGAAAACACTAATTGTTAATGAGGCTAATGAACACTATAATTAAAGGTTGTATGGAGGATTTTTTTTTTTTTTTGTTTCAAATTGTCAGTGATAGATTATAGAGGTGCAGTAGCCTTGTAATTATGATGACCAAAAAAAAGAGAATAAAAATTCATCAACTCTGGACGTGGTGGGGCTAAACATTTGCCAATAGATAACGACACTGCCTCGTTATCTGTGAGCTGACAGGCTGTCAATCAAACTCCCTACGTTTCTAGCGTAACTGACTTGCCTGCGCCGCCGGTACGTGGTTTACGTACGACTGTCACGCAGTCCACAGACGCAAGACGCACAGACGCTGTTTACTCCACCAACGCAACAGTTCTTAGCGGCTTTTTTTGACCTATATCTTCCTCGCAGTTCGCACAAAGTTTGTTGCAATGGCAGACAAGAATCCAGGAGCAGTTCGCCGCAAAAGAAAGTCCGTTTTTGAGGTCGCTGAAAGAAGAAGACAAGGGGAAAAGCAGCGAAGCCAAACTAAGGTGATTCTTGAAGATTCATTCCAGCGATGGCGCGACTGAAGCAGACGCAGGGTCTAAAGACTGACGCACTGGTCCACAAATTACTCCTGGACAGGAAACTTCTGCTTATTATGAAAACGTACTTTATTTCCAAGAGTTAGACAAACGTTTTTCAGGACATGAAAGCGATATCCTATGTCTGAAAACGTAATTTTCAAGGCAAAGAAAGAGTCCGCTTGCTGCTGCGTGTTGTAGCTAGTTCATTCGCACTGAATCTCCGCGCAACCTTCTCTGCACCCCTTTCCTGCTCCTGTCCCCGCTGCCCGATCCGCTCTTCCCCCTGCTCCTCACTTCTCCGGGCACGGAATCTCCGCGTACTGCTCCCTCTCTCCTCTCTCCTCTCTCCTCTCCCTGCTCCTCACTTCTCGTCCGCGAACGAAATGTCCGCACACCCCCTCCCCCCGCTCCTCACTTCTCCGTCTTGTCTAACCAACACTGTAGTTAGTTGTTTACAAGTCATGTGCAGCACCGGCTGTAAACAAACCTGTTTCTGGCGTAAAGGAGGAGGCGGGAGGAGGCGTTTCTACGTAGGAGCTGTAGGGGAGGGGGGGTGGTTTCACGCATGCGCAACATTTGAAAAAGGACAAACAGTCGCTGGATTTCTCGTTCCTTGGAAAATCCTCTATACAACCTTTAAGAGCGAGGCTGTCAAACTCAAATTCACAGAGGGCAAAATTAAAAACTGTGACTTAATCGTGGGCCAAACTAAATAATATAAAAAATGTCAACATCATCTGCATGTTTTCTCTTTTTTCGAGATATGTAATGTTAAACTTTTTCTTATTAAAATAAATGTTTAATAGTAGTTTTACTTAAACACTGAATCCAGAATAAACAGAATATAAAATAATAATAACATTTTGAATAAACAATTTATCTGTAGCTTTTGAACTCCTATTTTTCCACAAGTCAACAACCAGTCAAAATGAACAACTTGCTTCAATGAAAATTCAATCTTTCAACTCTGAACTGTCAAAAGTCATAAAGAAAACATTTATTCAAGCTCAGTTTGTAAACTGTGATTTACTCTGACGCACATGGGTCCAACGCAGAAACAAATACTTGGCATCTCCTCTTAGATACAAGTTTATCAAAGTAGTAGTATTAGTAGAAATAGTATTAGTATTAGTAGTAGTAAAAGTAAAAGTATTAATGGAAAGAGAATAATGTTAATGGCTGAATACCCGTAAAAGACAAAAAAGTATGAATAAGTGCTTTCTGCCTTTTACCATGAGCTATTTTGACAAAACAAAAACAAAAAACAAAACATTTTTCTTTTCCTGTAACATGTGACACTAAAAAAAGATGTAGTAAAACAAGTTTGAAACATTAGGAAACAAATCCGTACCTGGTGATAGTGTGGTGACGTTGTACTGAGGCTGGATGAACAGGATGGCTGTCTTGGCAGTGGCCTAAAATGACAAAAAGTAAATAAAATAAAATAAAGATTAGAAAAAAATACCACAAATTAATCATATTATTCAAGACTTTGCGCCAGTACAGAGTAAGAGAAGGAAAAACTGTGTTGGAAAAACTGAGCACTAAATCGACATAATATCAAAATACTAATAAAACAGATAAAAATAATAACAATAATCCAAATAATTTAAAATAAAATTAATAATAATAACCAAAATAATTTAAAATAAAATAATAATAATAATCAAAATACTGATAATCCAAATTATTTCCCTTGTGGATCAATAACATTCGTTTAAGTCTTAAGTCTAAATCTCCCTCAACAAATTTTCAATATTTAAGATGTATCAATACAGTATCAATATTGTAGGCTGCTGTATTGTCAAGAGTATTTTTAGGTTTATATGACTAAATTATTTTGTGTAAGAGCTAAGACTGTGCAATTAATCGAATTTTGATCATGATTTTGATTTGTGTGTCAAACTATTTGTCAAACAATTTGTGTGTCAGCCTCATAATCGAGTTGAAACAATTTAAAGCTTAACAAAGTTTATTTTGGGAAAATATTTATATAAATATATTTTAAAAGTAAAATAAATATACTTAAAGATTGTAGAACAGCTGGATATAGAGTTTATTTTGGATACACTTATGTTTTTCTGCCTTATTTCATGTTCAAAGTTTTTTGTTGTTTTTTTAAAGAGAAATGCTGAATAAATACATCGTGTAACTAAAAATATATACTCGTCTGAATAATCATAATTTCAATATTGACCAAAATAATCGTGATAATGATTGTTTCCATAATCAAGTAGTAAGAGCTACAATTGTGTTCACAGTTTTGAGTAAAATTGGTGTTTTTCATTTTACCGTATTTTCCGGACTATTAGACGCTCTTAAGCCTCCAACCTCATCAAAAAACCACCGCGCGCCACAATCCAGAGCGCCCCATACACGAATCCACTCGGCACAACTTCAGTAAAATACAAAGCCGCAAACACGCACGGAGCAGACAGCGACCGTGCGGCGACAAACACCCGCAGACACACTCATCGCTCCACGCCGACGAGGAACGGAACGGAGGAACGAACCAAAAAAGCGAGCACAACGTGCCACTTTGGCTACGTTCAGACTGCAGGGCTTAATGCTCAATTACGACCAGGATTGAGACCGGGAACAAGGACCAGGACTGAGATCGGGACTGAGAACGGGACCAGACCAGGACTGAAAAAGGTTTAGTCCTGGCAGTCCGTATGTGCATCGCATTTTAAAGTCATGGAAATGCCGTTTCCCATTTCCAAGACTTAAACCAGGACTAAACCAGGACTAAACCATTTTCAGTCCTGGTCTGGCCCCGGCCTCAATCCTGGTCTTAGTTCTGGTTTGGTTCCGGACCTGGTTTAGTCCTGATTCAGTCCTGGTTCAGTCGAGTGAACGAATGATACACGGATTCTTCTCCTTTACAAAAAGCTCCAAATTCTCCACAGAAAACTCCAGCCTCAGACTCATTCAGACTTTCCGAGCAGCTGATATTCTCCTAATATTACGACTTTATTCTCATAAAATGACGACTTTATTCTCGTAAAATTATGACTTTATTCTCGTAAAATTGCGACTTTTTCTGGCTTCGACTTTATTCGACTTTAATGTTGAAATGTTACGACTTTATTCTCGTAGCGCCGGCATTTTTAATTTTATTTTTTATCCGACCCTTATACTCCGTCATACTTTTCAAACCGTTTCGAATAAATTAGTTCTCTTTCGTCACATTTTAAGACGATAAAAATCAGATACTGCGGCTTTAACACGAAATTATGACTCAACAAATCCAACGACAACGGTGCAGGAAGTGTTTTGCTTTTATTAATCTGATCGTTTTGTGCTGAGCTCAAACTGACAAAGCAGTAACAAAAACTCCTGTCACTAACACGACATAAAAAAAAAAAAAACATTTTGTGGTTTCTTTCATTCAGCAGAAGAGTGATTAAATTGTGATGAATTTTGCTTGAGTTTTGTCGATCTTACAATCAAATTTCCACGCTGATATTAGACAAAGTCTGGAGGCATTAACTTCGTCTAAACCAGAAGGAAATCCCCGTTTTATTTTTGCAGCAGGTCAGTCGTACAGCTGTGTGACCCGAGTGTGGTTCCTGCTTGAAACTTTCAACACTAAAAAAAAAAAAAAACTAAAGGAGGAGACAAAACCCTGCAGGTATGAGGAGGATTAAGTCGCATTAACTGAGATCAAGTCTTGAAAATCTAAACTAAACTAAAGTAAATCTGCCTCAACTCAGATTCTCTTTTTGATAGATTTATGTTTTGTACAACAGAGGTCCCAAAAGAGAACATAAGTTTAAGGCCTGGTTTTAGACCTGGTTTTAGACCTGGTTCAGACCTGGATTTAGAGCTGGTTTAAACTTAATTTTAGTCCTGGTTTAGTCCTGGTTTAGACCTGGTTTAGACCTGGTTTAGTTTAAGACATAGTTTAAGGCCTGGTTTTAGACCTGGTTTCAGACCTGGTTCAGACCTGGTTTAGACCTGGTTTTCAGACCTGGTTCAGACCTGGTTCAGACCTGGTTTTAGAGCTGGTTCAGATCTAGTTTTAGAGCTGGTTCAGACCTGGATTTAGAGCTGGTTTAAACTTCATTTTAGTCCTGGTTTAAATCCTGGCTTAGTCCTGGTTTAGACCTGGTTTAGTTCTGGTTTAGTCCGTCCTGGTTTAGTCCTGGTTTAGACCTGGTTTAGACCTGGTTTAAGACATAGTTTAAGGCCTGGTTTTAGACCTGGTTTAGACCTGGTTCAGACCTGGTTCAGACCTGGTTCAGACCTGGTTTTAGAGCTGGTTCAGATCTAGTTTTAGAGCTGGTTCAGACCTGGATTTAGAGCTGGTTTAAACTTCATTTTAGTCCTAGTTTAGTCCTTGTTTAGTCCTGGTTTAAATCCTGGTTTAATCCTGGTTTAGACCTGGTTCAGTCCTAGATTTAGACCTGGTTTATTCCTGGTTTAGACCTGATTTTAATCCTGGTTCAGTCCTGGTTTAAGTCCTGGTTTAAGTCCTGGTTTTAGTCCTGGTTTTAGTCCTGGTTTTAGTCCTGGTTTAGACCTGGTTTAGACCTGGTTTAGACCTGGTTCAGTCCTAGATTTAGACCTGGTTTAGACCTGGTTTAGACCTGGTTTATTCCTGGGAGTTTACCTGGTTTACCTGGTTTAGTTTAGTCTGGAGTCTGGTTTAGTTCTAGTCCTGTTTAGACCTTTTACCTGTTTAGACCTGGTTTTTTTTCTGGTTTAGTTTAGTCCTGGTTTAAATCCTGGCTTAGTCCTGGTTTAGACCTGGTTTAGTTCTGGTTTAGTCCTGGTTTAGTCCTGGTTTAGTCCTGGTTTAGACCTGGTTTAGACCTGGTTTAAGACATAGTTTAAGGCCTGGTTTTAGACCTGGTTTTAGACCTGGTTCAGACCTGGTTCAGACCTGGTTTAAGACACAGTTTAAGGCCTGGTTTAGTCCTGGTTTAGACCTGGTTTCAGACCTGGTTCAGACCTGGTTCAGACCTGGTTTTAGAGCTGGTTCAGATCTAGTTTTAGAGCTGGTTCAGACCTGGATTTAGAGCTGGTTTAAACTTCATTTTAGTCCTAGTTTAGTCCTTGTTTAGTCCTGGTTTTAAATCCTGGTTTTATTTCCTGGTTTAGACCTGGTTTAGTCCTAGATTTAGACCTGGTTTATTCCTGGTTTAGACCTGATTTTAATCCTGGTTCAGTCCTGGTTTAAGTCCTGGTTTAAGTCCTGGTTTAAGTCCTGGTTTAAGTCCTGGTTTAAGTCCTGGTTTAAGTCCTGGTTTAGACCTGATTTAGACCTGATTTAGACCCGGTTTCAATCGGTGGGGCCATAAAATTGCCGTCGCATCTTCACTTTTTATTCCGTGTTTAGACGAGTGTTTTCAGGAGTAAATCTGCGTTCGTACGGTGACGCAAAAGTGTGTGGGATTCGATTGTGTGTGTTTTCCAGGCGGCTCGTGGTGACGTCTGCGACATAAACAACGTGACGACCCGAGCAGATCTGACCAGAGTTTTTTGCGTCTTGGGCAGCGCAGACGGAAACACTACGGCGGAGCGTGTTCAACTTTTCCACTCTGGAGTTTGGTTTCAGATTTTTGCGTTTTTAAGCCACAAAAACGCCGTCTAAACGAAAGGCACTTCTGATAAAATATTGTCGTTTTTACTTGCAAGCTTTCTCGTGTAAACAGTTCTTAAGTGTCGCCTCTCTTCCCCCGATCCCCCAGAGCCTCTGAATTCGCAGTATTTGTACAAGAACGACAAAACATCATGAATTACAACGTGGACGGGCGGATCAAACGGCGACGTGCAGCCCCTGAAGATAATCGTGAGCTGGTTTCGCCTCAGGATTAACACGTTAAATTAAAACAATGCAAGGTGTGGTGCGCTTCAAAAGAGAGAGATCGGAAAAACAGTCGTGTGGTCTGGTTTTATCTGTCTTTAAATACTTTGACATACCTGAGGAGATTAACAAACAAGATGGAACAAAAAGGTGTTACGTTTTCGAGAAAGTCTAGTCACAAAATGATTCTAAAGATAAAATAAAACCCAATATTTTACTTTCCATGACGTGATAATCTTATTCTCTTTTTGTGTGTGTTTTAAAATCTGCATAAACCAGAAAAATGAACCACTGTTGGGCAAGTTACTTTAAAACTGTAATGTGTTATTTATTTGTGACGTGTTTCTGTCGTTTTAAAGTGATTTGTTAAATTACAATATTACTGTGTTTAAAATGTAAAATATTACACGATTATTGCAGCACTTTAAGTTACTCTCAACAAAATAACTGCGAAGATGCTGAACTTTTGCGCCGAATATGGATTAAACCAGGACTAAACTAGGTCTAAACCAGGACTGAACCAGGACTAAACTAGGTCTGAACCAGGACTAAACCAGGACTAAACCAAGATTAAATCAGAGCTAATCCAAGACTAAACTAGGACTAAACCAGAGCTAAACCAGGACTGAACCAGGACTAAACCAGGACTGAACCAGGACTAAACAGACTGAACTAGGACTAAACCAGGACTAAACCAGGAGCAGACTAAACCAGACTGAACCAGACTAGACTAAACCAGACTAAACCAGGACTGAACCAGGACTGAACCAGGACTGAACCAGGACTAAACTGAACCAGGACTAAACCAGGACTGAACCAGGACTAAACCAAGACTAAATCAGAGCTAATCCAAGACTAAACTAGGACTAAACCAGAGCTAAACCAGGACTGAACCAGGTCTAAACTAGGACTAAACCAGAGCTAAACCAGGACTGAACCAGGACTAAACCAGCACTGAACCAGGACTGAACCAGACTAAACCAGGACTAAACCAAGACTAAATCAGAGCTAATCCAAGACTAAACTAGGACTAAACCAGAGCTAAACCAGGACTGAACCAGGTCTAAACCAGCACTGAACCAGGACTAAACCAGGACTGAACCAGGACTGAACCAGACTGAACCAGGTCTAAACCAGCACTGAACCAGGACTAAACCAGGACTGAACCAGGACTGAACCAGGACTAAACCAAGACTAAATCAGAGCTAATCCAAGACTAAACTAGGACTAAACCAGGTCTAAACTAGGACTAAACCAGGACTAAACCGTTTTCAGTTGGACTAGAACTTGGAATCTAGGACCGCCCCTGCGAGAACCCCCGAGCCCGTGGAAAAAGGGGGTCTGCAAAGCGCGATCGGATGTCAGCTGCTCTTCGCCCAGTGGAGCGTGGAGTTCTGAGTCGGTCCTTTCGCTCGCGGTCACCTGACGGTCTACACGGGCGCGTCTCAGGCGTTTCACAGCAGCTAATATCGCGGTAATTTTAGCGAATTTGTATGAAGAAAAACGAAAAAAACACCACTTCAATCCAGGTTAAAAAAGCATTGTGACGTGTATTACTCACATTTGTACTGAATAAAATATTACTATGTTTTTCCCTGTAATGCCGAACATTACTGTGTTACAGCAAAAAGCAACACATTACAGTAATTTGTTACTTTTATAATGTGTTACTCCCAACACTGAAACTAACATTATTTAACAATCAACTACAGTATTCATCATTATTATTTCGATGAATCGTCGCAGCTCTAGTCTCAGAGTCTGAAACTAAACCAAGACTAAACCAGGACCATAGAAAGACTAAACCATTTTAAAGTAAACCAGGACATGGGTATCAAATGATGCGCCTCAATATTTCATCATTTCTTGGCCCAGTACGTTCCATTTACTCAGTTACATTTACTTCAATAACCTTTTAAAGACCTTTTTGTACTTTTCTGGTAGCATAGTTACGTCCCACTTGAGTAATATTTGTTTTGCAGTAGCAGTACTAATACTTGAGTAAACGTTGTGCTTCCTCTTCCCGATGTGAGTAATTCTAAAGTGACAAAAACTTTATGTGACAATACGAAATGACTGTTTTTAGCACTCCTTCAGATATGATTTAGATTGTCTAATTTTTCTCAGAATTTTGCGTTACTTCATGTTTTATCCGTAAACTTTAACAATAAATAACATGGTATGCCTGACAGTTACTCTTTAATTTACTTGTATTTGAGTAGTACTTTTCCCAAATACTTTTTTACCACTACTTTGCACGTCTGCTTAAGTATTATTATTATAAGCAACGCTACTTTTACGTGAGTACAGTTTTTGGCTACTCTACCACTTCTGAGCGTAGTTTTAGCTAATTTCCGCAAAAATAAAAACAAATAAAATATAAAAACACACCATAAATCATTATTAAAACGCCTGGTATTAAAATGCATTGCCTCCAGGTACGGGGACTAATTTTTTGGAGCCGGAGTCCAGAGGCTACAGCGGTTCACGCAGATTGAGACGTGGCAGTACGCACAGACCGTGAAGCGACCGGAAAACACCAGCCATACTTCCGGTTTTTACCCGCCGCAATAAAACGCTCGCTTTAAAAATCAGCTCCTCAACTTTTATTTTGAAATCCAGCGTTTCCGTATTTACGCGTTTAGTAGCTAGCTGACAAATATTTTCGTTGTAAATACTTGCAGTGGTTTTTTTGTGGTAGAAAAGTTATTAAAAGTTTAAAAAGTAAAATTATTATTGAAAAAGTTGGACGTTGTTTCGACTCGCGTGGAGTAACTTCCCGAAGCTAACCGCGGCCACAAAAATCACCTAAATGAAAAGTTCCCGCAGAAAATACGTGTTAATAGCGTAACTACTCATGCAAATCGAGTACACTTCAATTATTTTTGAGTCGTTGCAGTTTTCTGGTTTGTAAACTGCTTAAAACCGTTACAAAAGTAGGGGAAAAAACGAGAACATCTCATCACACCTTTACAACTTTACGCGTTTCCTTCCCTACATGGCAACCCAAAGTGGCTCATCCGTCAAATAAATCACGTTTTTGCAAAGATTTTGAGCCGGAACTTTGCACCGACACCGACCCGTACCCCCAAAAACAGCTGAGCCCGAAGGGAAGGAAAAAAAAAAAAAAGCAGCGATCGGCTCCTTCACTCACCTCAAACATCAGCCCGATCAGGATAAAGATGACCAAAGTGAACACGATGTCGGCGTGGTTCTGTATGAGAAACTCCTGACTGAAGAACGGGTAGCTCTTGTTTCTCCGTCTGAATGCCATTTTCGCACTAAAGTTCCTCTACTCTGCTTTTTTGGGTGAATGTGTGAGATTTTTTTTTTTCCAATCCACGAAGTTCAGGAGGTAACTTTTGTGAGTGCAGTGCGCGTGCGTGAAGTCTTAAAGGGCGAGCGTCGTAAATACCTCAAGCGGGACATTTGCATACGAAGGATCCAGTTTTTACGCTTTACATGGCATGGAATGTGATATAAGCAGTGTTGGGAAGGTGGCTTTTAAAATGTATTCCCCTACAGATTACAGATTACATACCCCAAAATGTAGTTTGTAACGTAATCCATAAAATTACTTAAAGTGAGTAACGTAATCTGAATACTTTGGATTACTTGGTTTGCTGTAGAGAAGGAAAGACAAGGAAATCTTCACATAAGATGTTTTGTCTGATAAAAGACAATAAAAAGATGAGTCTTTACTTAATCAAATTAAAAATATTATTGATAGAAGACGAGGAAACACGGTCCACGCAGCGTGATTTAGTCCAGTTAAGTCCTGTTTTAGACCTGGTTTAGACCTGGTTTAGACCTGGTTTAGTCTTGGTTTAGACCCTGTTTAGACCTGGTTTAAAACTGGTTTAGACCTGGTTTAGTCTTGGTTTAGACCTGGTTTAGACCTGGTTTAAAACTGGTTAAGACCTGGTCTAGTCTTGGTTTAGACCTGGTTTAGACGTGGTTTAGTCTTGGTTTAGAACTGGTTTAGACGTGGTTTAGTCTTGGTTTAGACCCAGTGTAGACCTGGTTTAGACCTGGTTTAGTCTTGGTTTAGACCTGGTTTAGACCTGGTTTAGTCTTGGTTTAGAACTGGTTTAGACGTGGTTTAGTCTTGGTTTAGACCTGGTTTAGACGTGGTTTAGTCTTGGTTTAGAACTGGTTTAGACGTGGTTTAGTCTTGGTTTAGACCCAGTGTAGACCTGGTTTAGACCTGGTTTAGTCTTGGTTTTAGAAGTCTGGTTTAGACCTGGTTTAGACCTGGTTTAGTTTAGACTGGTTTAGTCTTGGTTTAGACAGTGTAGACCAGAGACCTGTTTACCTGTTTAGACTTACTTGTTTAGACTGGTTTAGTCTTGGTTTAGACGTAGACCTGGTTTACCTGGTTTACTGGTTTAGACCTGGTTTAGTCTGGTTTAGACCAGTGTAGACTGGTTTTAGTCCTGGTTTAGTCTTGGTTTAGACCCAGTGTAGACCTGGTTTTAGACCTGTTTAGTCTTGGTTTAGACCTGGTTTAGTCTTGGTTTAGACCAGTTAGAGTTTTTACCTGGTTTAGTCTTGGTTAGACCCAGTTAGACCTGGTTTAGACCTGGTTTAGTTTGGTTTTTAGACCTGGTTTAGTCTTGGTTTAGGTAGACCTGGTTTTACCTGGTTTAGTCTTGGTTTAGACCAGTGTAGACCTGGTTTAGGTTTAGTCTTGGTTTAGACCCAGTTAGACCTGGTTTAGACCTGGTTTAGTCTTGGTTTAGAACTGGTTTAGACGTGGTTTAGTCTTGGTTTAGACCCAGTGTAGACCTGGTTTAGACCTGGTTTAGTCTTGGTTTAGACCCAGTGTAGACCTGGTTTAGTCTTGGTTTAGACCCAGTGTAGACCTGGTTTTAGTCCTGGTTTAGTCTTGGTTTAGACCCAGTGTAGACCTGGTTTAGTCTTGGTTTAGACCCAGTGTAGACCTGGTTTAGACCTGGTTTAGTCTTGGTTTAGACCCAGTGTAGACCTTTAGACCTGTTTAGTCTTGGTTTAGACCCAGTGTAGACCTGGTTTAGACCTGGTTTAGTCTTGGTTTAGACCCAGTGTAGACCTGGTTTTAGTCCTGGTTTAGTCTTGGTTTAGACCCAGTGTAGACCTGGTTTAGTCTTGGTTTAGACCCAGTGTAGACCTGGTTTTAGTCCTGGTTTAGTCTTGGTTTAGACCCAGTGTAGACCTGGTTTAGACCTGGTTTAGTCTTGGTTTAGACCCAGTGTAGACCTGGTTTAGTCTTGGTTTAGACCCAGTGTAGACCTGGTTTTAGTCCTGGTTTAGTCTTGGTTTAGACCCAGTGTAGACCTGGTTTAGACCTGGTTTAGTCTTGGTTTAGACCCAGTGTAGACCTGGTTTAGTCTTGGTTTAGACCCAGTGTAGACCTGGTTTAGTCCTGGTTTAGTCTTGGTTTAGACCCAGTGTAGACCTGGTTTAGACCTGGTTTAGTCTTGGTTTAGACCCAGTGTAGACCTGGTTTAGACCTGGTTTAGTCTTGGTTTAGACCCAGTGTAGACCTGGTTTAGACCTGGTTTAGTCTTGGTTTAGACCCAGTGTAGACCTGGTTTTAGTCCTGGTTTAGTGTCCGGCAATGAGTGGAATTACTGGAGGAAAAAAAAAAGAAAAAAAAAAGTGATATAGCCCGAAATGTGAAAACAGGAAAATACCGCCCTGTAATCCATTTATTTCAACAAAGTAACTGTAATCCAATTACCTCTCATTAAAACAGTAACTGTAACTGAATACAGTTACTCATCATTTGTACTCTGATTACGTAACTCCGGTACATGTAATCTGTTACTCCCCAACACTGTATATAAGGCCTCAAATCACAACTAGGAGAGTTTAACAAATATTTAAAAGTGGCAAAATTATGCTTTAAAATTTCAGAGAATGCATAGAAACAGATGAAGATTTTAGATTTAATGTTTTATTTTGTTCTGTTTTCAGGTTGAGCCGTTCACTCCCAAAGATAATTCATTTTGTGTGGTGGAATCTGCTCCCACACACTCAGCCAAGACTGTGCAGCCTTCAGTGCTGAATTAAGAAACACTTCACCAACTGCTTCACCAAGCAAACACATTTGGACTTTATACCAAACATTTATTTAAAGAGGAATGCTGCTTACACAGGGCTAAAAGATCTGGTCGACCAACATCAACATCATCACTGAGCTACACTTAGAAGTTTTCAAGATAATTGCTCTTGAAATTGTCTCAAATTTTTTGGGACACCCTGTATTTTACATCAATAATCAGCTCATTTTCTGTACATAAATATCCTGTTGCAGTGAGGAGTGAAACGACTCAAATGAACTTCAGAGTAACTTGGACGGTCCACCACCTGCATGTCTTCATACATTTATTATTTCTTGGAATAGAATGTTCCACAGTATGCCATTAAAATTGAACTAAACCCTAAATGAACTTTTATTTTTCTACTAAACTGCATTATAGTTCTAGCGCTTTTTGCAATTTTTGTGTAAACTAGGTAAATTTCAACAAGTGTGTTTTTATAATATCCTTCCATCCATTTTCTTCCGCTTATCCGGGTCGCGTCATCGGGGGCAGCAGTCTAAGCAGTGACTCCCAGACTTCCTTCACCCCGGACACTTCCTCCAGCTCCTCCAGGGGGACCCCGAGTTGTTCCCAGGCCAGTCCAGAGACATAGTCCCTCCAGCGTGTCCTGGGTCTTCCCCAGGGCCAGGAACAGAACAGGAACAGATGCCCGAGCAGCGGCTCTACTCCGAGCTCCTCAGATGTGACTGAGCTCCTCACTCTGTCTCTAAGCCCAGACACCCTGCGGAGGAAACTCATTTCTGCCGCTTGTATCCGCGATCTCGTCCTTTCAGTCATTACCCAGAGCTCATGACCAGAGGTGAGAGAAGGAATGAAGACTGACCGGTAAATCGAGAGCTTCGCCTTTCAGCTCAGCTCCCGTTTCACCACAACGGTCCGATACAGCGACCGCATCACTGCCAGACGCTGCACCGATCCACCTGTCAATCTCACGCTCCGTCCTCCCCTCGCTCATGAACAAGACCCTGAGATACTTGAACTCCTCCACTTGAGGCAGAGACTCTCCACCCACCTGAAGAAGACAAGACGCCTTTTTCCGGTCGAGAACCACGACCTCGGACTTGGAAGAGCTGATCCTCATCCCAGCCGCTTCACACAAACAAAAATAACATTATAATAATACTCATCAAGTTATTTTTAGCAACAACACAATCCAAAAGATGTTATTTGAAATGTTAGTTTAATGCAGGGGTCTCCAAACTTTTTTATTTTAGTAGATCTAAATTTGTCTTGTTTTTATGTACTTTTTTCATTTCATTTGTATTATTAACATTTTTTCATTGGCATTAATATCTTTTTTTTTTTTTTTGTCTTGCACCTGCCTCTAATCCACATCTGTCTTTACTCTTGGTTGGAGTGTTTTTCTTAAAAACCACGCCCGTGCTTTAATTTTAACTAAGCCCTGATGAAGACCGGTCAATGTTGAAACATGTCGACTCTGGTTATTTAAATAAAAGCCTTTTAACTCTACTTTTCCTCACGTGACTTTTATTTATTTTGGAGTGCCTGGATTTCGTTGTGTTTACACTTTTGATCCTTTTTCCAAATCCTGTTCTCACTGTCTGGACACCTGCAGCTGGTGTCGTAATACTCAAGACCGGTCTTGACTGCGCTTGGTCTTGTCTCGGTCTTGAAGACGCTTGGACTCGGTCTTGATGGCGCTTGGACTTGGTCTTGAAGACGCTTGGACTCGGTCTTGATGGCGCTTGGACTTGGTCTTGTCTCGGTCTTGAAGGTGCTTTGGACTTGGTCTTTTCTCACTCTTGTTTTGGGCTTCTCTCGGTCTGGTCTCATTCTTGTCTCGTTCTTGAAGGCGCTTGGACTCGGTCTTGAAGGGTGCTTGGACTCGGTCTTGAAGGCGCTTGGACTCGGTCTTGAAGGCACTTGGACTCGGTCTTGTCTCGGTCTTGAAGGTGCTTGGACTCGGTCTTGAAGGCGTTTGGACTTGGTCTTTTCTCACTCTTGTTTTGGGCTTTTCTCGGTCTGGTCTCATTCTTGTCTCGTTCTTGAAGGTGCTTGGACTCAGTTTTGTCTCGGTCTTGAAGGTGTTCGGACTTGGTCTTGTTTCAGTCTTGATGGAGCTTGGATTCAGTCTTGTCTTGGTCTTGTCTTGGCCTTTTCTCGGCCTTGAAGGCGCTTGGATTCGGTCTTGTCTCGGTCTTGAAGGCGCTTGGACTCGGTCTTGTCTCGGTCTTGTCTCGGTCTTGAAGGCGCTTGGACTCGGTCTTGTCTCGGTCTTGAAGGCGCTTGGACTCGGCCTTGTCTCGGTCTTGAAGGCGCTTGGACTCGGTCTTGTCTCGGTCTTGAAGGTGCTTTGGACTCGGTCTTGTCTCGGTCTTGAAGGCGCTTGGACTCGGTCTTGTCTCGGTCTTGAAGGCGCTTGGACTCGGTCTTGTCTCGGTCTTGAAGGCGCTTGGACTCGGGCTTGTCTCGGTCTTGAAACTGTTTGGACTCGATTTGGTCTTGATGAGCCGTGGTTTCGGTCTTGTCTCGGTCTAGACCTTTAAAAGTCTCGGTCTTGTCTCGGTCTAGACCTTTAAAAGTCTCGGTCTTGTCTCGGTCTCGACCCTCAGAGGTCTTGATCTTGGATTGTGGACCGTTTACCTGCATAGTGAGTAACATTATAAGTGTAAAAGTCATCGTCTCGTCCAAACTGCAATTAGAAAATCACAAAGTCTAAAACGTTTATGTACCTTAATTTCACAAACTTTGTCTTTTTGTGTATAAAAACTGTCTGACCCTGTCGTTTCGATCTGTTCAAACTTGCTCTGAAATGTGATTCTTGTTTGTCTCGTTTGTCACTTCAGATTCCACTGTGTTTGTTGAGTGTAAAATGTGAACTTTGAACAGAATCATAAAACATAAATCGAAATCAAATTGCAACGCTCGTCTGCGATTACAGTGGATTTTTTTTTCTCAAATGGAGTCAGACTGGGAGGTTTATTTATTTTATTTTATTTAAGTATGAAGCAATAAAATTAATCCTTCCTCCGGCGTTTTTCGACGGTTATAAACTCAAAGCGCTGGCACAATCTCAATCATAAAGCTGTGAGCTGGTTTAGTTCTGGTTTAAGACCTTGTTTTAGACCTGATTTTAGACCTGGTTTAGTCCTGGTTTTAGACCTGATTTAGTCGTGGCTTTAGGCCTGGTTTAGTCCTGGCTTTAGCTCTGGTTTAGACCTGGTTTAGACCTGGTTTTAGACCTGGTTTTAGACCAGGTTCAGTCCTGGTTTTAGTTCTGGTTTAGACTTGATTTAGGCCTGGTTTAGTCCTGGCTTTAGTTCTGGTTTTGACCTGGTTTTAGACCTGGTTCAATTCTGGTTTAGACCTTGTTTAGACCTGGTTTTAGTCCTGGTTTAAACCTGATTTAGACCTGGTTTAGTCCTGGTTTAGACCTGATTTAGACCTGATTCAGTCCTGGTTTTAGTTCTGGTTTAGACCTGGCTTTAGTCCTGGTTTTAGACCTGGTTTAGTCGTGGCTTTAGTCCTGGTTTAGTCCTGGCTTTAGTTCTGGTTTAGACCTGGTTTTAGACCTGGTTTTAGACCAGGTTCAGTCCTGGTTTTAGTTCTGGTTTAGACTTGATTTAGGCCTGGTTTAGTCCTGGCTTTAGTCCTAGGTTTTAGTCCTGGTTTTAGACCTGGTTTAGACCTGGTTTAGGCCTGGTTTTACTTCTGGTTTTAGTCCTAGTTAAATCCTGGTTTAGTCCTGGATTTAGTCCTGGTTTTGTTCCTGGTTTTATTCCTGGTTTAGACCTGGTTTTAGTTCTGGTTTAATACTGGTTTAGTGCTGGTTTAGACCTTGTTTAGACCTGGTTAAATCCTGTTTCAGACCCAGTTTAGTCCTGGTTTAGTCCTGTTTTAGACCTGGTTTAAGACCTGGTTTTAGACCCGGTTTAGTCCTGGATTAGACCTGGTTCTAGACCTGGTTTTTGACCTGGTTTAGTCCTGATTTAGTCCTAATTTAGACCTGGCTTTAGTCCTGGTTTAGTCGTGGATTAGACCTTGTTTAGACTTGGTTTAAGACCTGGTTTTGGACCCGGTTTAGTCCTGATTTAGTTCTGGTTTTAGACCTGATTTAGACCTGGTTTTAAACCTGGTTTAGTTTGATTTAGACCGTTTGGTTTAGTTTAGACTTGGTTTAAGACCTGGTTTTAGACCTAGTTTAGACCTGGTTAAGACCTGGTTTTAGACCTGGTTTTAGACTTGGTTTAGTCCTGGTTTAGTCCTAGTATAGATGCGTATGGGGGGGGGTTTGCACGTTTGTGGCCTGGTACCGGTCCGCGGCCCGGGGGTTGCGGTCCCCTGCCTCGCACTACGATATTTATTGTGATATCGTGGGAAAACTCACGATTAGGGATGTAACAATATCTAAATCTCTCGGTACGATATTTATTGCGATATTTTGTGGACCAAAACAAAACTGTGAACATGTTACTTTTTCCTCTTAAAATGCTTTGACAAAACTTAATCCAAAGAACTAAGACTTAAAAGTGTTAGAACTGTTATTTCTTCTTGTCGTCTGCACTGAAATGGAGCAAAGGATCATGGTCTATGTAGTTCTCTGTCTGTTTTTTAGCTATTGCTGCACCATAATTCTTCATTTAAAAAAGAGACTTGTAATTCGATATATTGTGATGGTCCACGATGTTATTGTGAGAACTTTGATGATATATTTATTGTTACATCCCCACAGTCTACCAGCAGAAAAGTGACCTAGTGCAGCTTTAATACTGCTCACTGTTTACTGACAAACTGCCTACTGCAACTTCAAATTACATTTCATTTTTCAACTCAAAATCAAAAGTCCGTCAAGTGCCTGAGACGTGTTTGCACAAAGCTCTTCTTCATCAGTTACATGGTCAACATGTAAATCAAGACTTTAAAGGTCCTATATTACACACATATTACACTCTTCTAATGTTCTAATGCTGTTGCTTTCGTTAAAAACAGACCTGGAGTTGTGTTTTGTTTCATTCACACATGTGTTGAGTAATCATTTATTATTAGTTTGTCTACATCACCAAAGCTCAAAACGTTATTATGTTATTAGGTTCTTTTCTCAGACCAAGAGTTTGTTTTCATACCCGACAGTTTCGACGTGATGTTTCTGTGACGTGTCGTTCAGCTGATTTAAACAGGTTTTGGCGCTGTCTTTCTACCAGTGGAGGCAGGACGACAGCGCCACCTGCAGTCCCACTTCCTCAGGACAGAATCCCAGGTGTGTGAAAGTAAAAAAGCCCCTCGTCCTGGTTTATCGTCCCGTGGGCACGTTTCGATTGCCTCTTTAATCCAGCGCCGATGTCCCACTGATGTTTGCTCCGTTCCAGTCCATAATGTCTCTTTTTTTTTTCAGAAATGACTGACCTGTTTAAATCAGCTGAGCAGACACGACGCAGCAACATCACATGACCACGCAGAGGAAGACTGCGAGGGAGTAGAGGTGTAATGATACTGGCGAGATCATGATATTGTTGTAGTAATTGCCATGATATCATCACGGTCTTGTCACGGTGTTAAACTGTGTGGCTTTAGGCAAAAATAATAATTTTCAGTCTGCTCCTGTGGTGCACAGTAAACTACATGGACCATAATGGACCACGTCATCGGTGGTTACACCCTTATCATCAGAAGGTCCACTAGTCAGAAAATCATTCCCTCTTCTATTGGTTTGTCAGCAACATTTCTCTTGAACAATTGAATGTATATTTGATGAAAGCAACAGGGAATAATCCCTGGATATCAGGGAAGAATTAGTAAACTTTTGGATGTTTACCAATTAAAAATGGCTGCAACATCAACATTTTTTGAGATATTGACAGGAAAACGCATAATCCTGCATAACAGCATCAGCTAAGGCCAACATTACTTAATTTGTTGGTTTACAAACCCACCAGTGCTGTATTAAAAGAAAAAGATTTAAAATAAAATTGAAATGAAGGTTGTAGAGCTCGAATTACTGAACATTTTGCAAGTTGTTGCCTGAAAATCAGACAATTATTAACCCTGTTCCACTTAAGACAGACATTTCCACCCAAATCATTATTTCCTCAAACATTTTTGCTGTATTTTAAGGGTTTAATATATTTATTACTTTTAATATTTACTTTTTAAAATATTTAAAACTTGAAATACAATTTCATTTGTAACAATTTGTAACACGACCTGAACATGGATTTTCTGACTAGAGGCTCTTCTGACGATAAGGCTGATCCCGTCATCGGTCTGTGCGCCCGTTGTGAACACACCAGCGACTTTTAAGTCTGAGGTCTAGAAGCATTTTGGGTTTGTCGTGACACGAAACGAGAATGGAGAAAAGGTGACGGACGAACAACAGACAGTGTGCAGACTCAATGCAGCGTGTGGTTCACCTCGAGAAATACTACAACATGAGAAGGACCTTGATAAGCCGACACGCCGAAAATGTTCAAGCATGTGTTCAGAAAATCAAGTCGGGACAAAAACCTATACATGAAGCAGCTCAAGAAATAACTAAATAAATCACAGAATATAAAGTGAGTGATTTGCATCTATTTTCCACGGTGAACACCATCATGTTCAAAAGGTTAGTGGCTAAACTGGAGCCGAAATAGACAAAACAAACTTAAATGCGATGCCGTTTTATATTTCCTACGACAAGGACTCAAATATACATTGAGTAATAATGTGTTTAATGCAGCTTTGTGCACGTTTGTTTACGTTTCATAGAAATGAAACTTAAAACCTCATGGCTCATTTGCATAAGCTCTGAAAAAAACAGCTCGCTCCTTGTGCGCTGATGCGGTTCAGCTTCTATCAGACTTACTCCGCGAGGCTCCTGACTACTGTTCAAAATGTCACTGATATGAACATGACAATAAATCAGACATGTCAAACTCAGACCCGGAGACCAAATTTGGCCCGTTATATAATTATATTTGACCCGCGAGATCATATCAAATCTGTATTAGAGCTGCCCGCCGGCTACAGATCGACGATAGAGACATTATTTATTTAAAATTGTGTTATTATTTGATAGTAAGAGCAATGTTTAAACAAAACATTTATTTTAATAAGAAAAAGTTTAACATTACATATCTCGAAAGAAGAGAAAACAGGCAGATGTTGTTGAAATTTTTCAATAAATATTTAGTTTGGGCAACAACTTAGTCCCAGTTTTTAATTTCAGCTTCTGTGACTTTGAGTTTGACGCTCTTGCAGTAAATGTTTTACCAAATGACTGGTCTTAGTTATTATGCAGAGTATCGTAATACCATGATATCGCAATAAATATCGTACCGCGAGGTTCATACCGTGATGATATCGTATTGACTTGGATATCGTTACACCCCTACTAGTGAGAAATCAAAACTGTAAATGTAAGTATGAAAACAAACTCTTGGTCTGAAAAAAGAACCTAATAACATAAATTATCAGAAAACCAAATGAACCTCATTGAACAACAACTCCAGGTGTGTTTACGATGAGGAAACTGCATTACAACACACAGCAGATCATAAAATACTGTAGTATCGGCCCTTTAAATCCACACAGCAATCAAAGAAATCACTCGTCATACAAAAAATACACAATTATCATTATTCCTCAGTAAAAGTAACAAAAACACAGCAACCGATGTATAGTACACGTTTGTGCTTTATGGACTCTGCTTCGCAACGCAACGATAAAAAGTCCCGACGCGTTTGGAAATAGCTTCTCTAAACTCTCTATAAGTGCCTCATGTATTATTCACATTATGTATCGTCGTAAGAGAAAACGCTTCCGCTTCTTAAATATTTGATTCCGATCTGGTAGAGCCAGATTTGCACAGTACGGTGTCAAACCTCTGCTACTAAATGAACTGAAAAGTACATTATACAGCTTTGTACACCTTTATGGCCTTTAATATCACATAAGTGTTCCAGCATTTGAGCAACTTATCTCTAATGGTTCAGTTAGCGTATGCCCACAGTGTACAGGAAATATAGGACCAGATCTACTCTGCGCACCACTAGATTCACTCGGTATAATTAGATATGAGTTATTTCTCGTTAAGAGGTCAGTGTTTTTGTCCTAGTTTTGTTTCAGTTTGAACGCAGGAGAGTCTGAAAGAGGCGAAGGCGACAGTGGAGCTCCACCACGTCCACGTCCACATCCACATCCGGGACGGTTTAATACCCGATTTATTACACTAATCCAACCCAAAACTTAAAGAAAACATACCTGATTATTTACTGTCTTAAAATAAAAACATAACTAGTGGTTCACAGTAGAGGTCTGCGCGGGAACAGAATTTTCAGTCCTGCAAAGAATTGTAATTTTCGTTCCCGCCGTTTCCCGTGTGATATTTTGTCCCGTTCCCGCCCGCAAATCCCGCAAGACTCGAACGTTCGCTTTTAAGCTCTATCAGACACGGAGAAGCAGAAAGGAATTGTCTAAAACAGGCATGTCCAAACTATGGGCCGTGGGCCAAATGCGGCCCTTAGACAAATTTTTCTTGGCCCTCGGGCTTCCAGGAGAATTGGCCCAAATATCTTGCAAATGATCTTTTTATTGCAAGTTTTTTTTGAAAATCTACCTGGATAAAGCTGATATTTAATATTTAGTGTGGAATTTTAAGAATCTTAATGGAAATAAAGAGTGATGGCTCATTCTAACGTGTTAAACATGCACATATTTTAATTATTCACTGTACTGAGCACCGGTCTACGGCCGTTCGATTCATCGTTGCAAACCAACACTGACAATCATCATTTTTGGACTTTTAGTGGCCTATTTTATATGATCTTTACCCTGATTATGTGTTTTGTTCCTGTGTTATTAAAGAGAAAATTGCCTTCGGTTATTTTATGATTGAACAGATATTAACCTTCTAACAGTTTTATTCTGGTTGTTGGTCGGCTTTACGAAAACTTCATTTTGAGTCCGGGGGGATTTTTTTTCAAAAATATGACCAACTGAAGGTCAGTTCCTTTCATTACTAGTAAAAGTTCATCAAAATATGATACAGGGTGTAGAGGTTGTAAAAAAGTTATAACACTAAGTCCTACTGTCTGCTAGGGGTGTGCAAAAATATCAGAATATCGATATATCGTATTGTTTAATGTGATGATACAGTATCGATATCTTGGGCTACTGTATCGATATATCACCGAGAGTATTTTTAGCTGTGTTTTACTAAATTATTTTGTTACAGAGCTACAGTTTTGTTGCTTGTGGAGTGAAAGGAAACTCATTTATGCGACACATTTGACATTTTGACTGTTTTGAGGATTAAAATGTTTGTGTTTCATATGAACTTTGCACAAGAAGTGGTTTAACAAAGACTTTTAGTATCACAGCCACGATTTAGCCTTTATTTTTTATTGAACCGTATCGAATCGATTTGAAATATATCATATCGAATCGAAAGTGCACTGTATCGAGATATGTACCGTATCGTGGCCTGTGTATCGAGGTATGTATCGTATCGGCAACTTCTTAATGATACCCAGCCCTACTGTATCTGTCTTTAGTTGTTGTATTTATGAGGACATCTCAAGGCGCTTATCCTCCAAATAAATAAATAAATTCAATTCATATATGAACCTTTCAAAAAATGGACTACATTTACCGCAGTTTGTTGAGCTCCATTCATCAGCTGTTGTTTCCAGCGAGTGTTCTGAAAAAGATTTTTGTGGGGGTTTTTTTGTACCGGATGTGACGTGGTGGAGCTTCACTCGGCGAAGCCCGTTCAAGCCCTCGTAGTAGATAAAGTGTGATACAAGACACGATGTTGATAGATAGGTAGATATGCTATGAATCCCTCTGTAAGCGTATGTCGAGGGTTTAAAGCCTCCACAGGCCTGGCCCTTATAGACACGCCTCTATGCATCTCCTACTACACGAGCAGATAGAAAAAGCTGGTGCCGTGTTTGGATATTAAGCTGCTGTCGTTCCCTGATTAAGACAAATACTGTACAGGAGAGGCGGGGCTGCACGGTACGAGGCTAAAAAGTCACATTCTCGTCCTATTTTTCTCAAACGGCGTGATAATTGTTTGTTATTTTAATTTTAATGTATATTGTGCTACACTTTTAGCCATGTCATGAAATACTGTGTCATTTCCTCATCAAAAATAAAGCGAAAGTTGTGTTTTCCTTCTTTCCATTCCAATATGACTCTTCTATTTGCTCAACGCTGATGTTTATTTATATGCAGTGTTGGGAAGGTGACTTTTAAAATGTAATCCCCTACAGATTACAGATTACATACCCCAGAGGGTAGTTTGTAATGTAATCCATTAAATTACTTAAAGTGAGTAATGTAATCTGAATACTTTGGATTACTTGATTTGCTGTAGAGAAGCAAAGACCAGGAAATCTTCACTTAAGATGTTTTGTCTGATAAAAGAAAATTAAAAGCCCAGACTTTACTGAACCAAAATAAAAATATTATTGATAGAAGAAGAGGAGACACTTTTCCGCAGCATCGTTTAGTCCCGTTTTAGTCCTGTTTTAGACCTGGTTTAGACCTGGTTTTAGACCTGGTTTTAGTCCTGGTTTTAGACCTGTTTTAGTCCTGGTTTAGTCCTGGTTTAGTCCTGGTTTTAGACCTGGTTTAGACCTGGTTTAGACCTGGTTTAGTCCTGGTTTTAGTCCTGTTTTAGTCCTGGTTTAGTCCTGGTTTAGTCCTGGTTTTAGACCTGGTTTAGTCCTGGTTTAGTCCTGGTTTTAGTCCTGGTTTAGACCTGGTTTAGACCTGGTTTTAGTCCTGTTTTAGTCCTGGTTTAGTCCTGGTTTTAGACCTGGTTTAGACCTGGTTTAGTCCTGGTTTAGTCCTGGTTTTAGTCCTGTTTTAGTCCTGGTTTAGACCTGGTTTTAGACCTGGTTTAGTCCTGGTTTTAGTCCTGGTTTAGACCTGGTTTAGACCTGGTTTAGTCCTGGTTTTAGACCTGGTTTAGTCCTGGTTTAGTCCTGGTTTTAGTCCTGTTTTAGTCCTGGTTTAGACCTGGTTTAGACCTGGTTTAGACCTGGTTTTAGTCCTGGTTTAGATCTGGTTTAGACCTGGGTTTAGACCTAGTTTAGGTCTAGTTTAGGCCTGGTTTTAGTCCTGGTTTTAGACCTGTTTTAGATCTAGTTTAGACCTGGTTTAGTTTCCAGCAATGAGTGGAATTACCGAAAAAAAAAAAAAAAAAAGTGGGGCGGGTATTCAAAATGTAAAAACAGTAAAATCCCGCCGTGTAATCCATTTATTTCAACTAAGTAACTGTAATCCAATTACCACTCACTGAAACAGTAACTGTAACCGAATACAGTTACTCATAATTTGTACTCTGATTACATAACTCCGGTACATGTAATCTGTTACTCCCCAACACTGTTTATACGTAATTATAAAATCCTGGACAGCGCTGAATGGTAAATACCAAAACCCCAACTCCTGCAGCCAATCGTGAATCAACGCCAGAGGTGGGTAGTATTAGTAGTAGTCACATTTACTTAAGTAACGTTTTGAGGAAATGGTACTTTTGGGCAGGACTCTCACTTCAATTAAAGATCTGGTTCCTCTTCCCACTGTGAGAAAATCTACAAGTGACAAAAGCTTCATGTGGACAATATTACACGTGTTTCTTAAACCGCAGCTTCAAGATATGATTTTATGCATCTCATTTGTGTGGTTTGTCCGTTGAAAATATATATATTTTTTAGTATTTTTGGATGTTTTGTCCATCCACTTACATTAACTTTAAATGATAAATCAAATGTTGCATCCAGTTTTTCTTACTTAGGCAGTAGTTTCCCCAAATAATGTATTTTTCGGACTATAAGGTGCACTTTTTTTTCGTGGTTTGGGTGTTTCCTGTGACTTATTCTCCGGTGCGACTTATATATTAAAATATTCACAGTGAAGCGTGGAGAGGTTCTAGTCTTGTGTGTGAGTATCTGCTGCTCCTGTTCCTCCTGTACCACTGTCACTTGGCTCTACTGCGCATGTCTCCTGCAGAAAGAGCCTCTGTCCTGTCTGTATCATGTCAGTCGATCGCACCGTGACTTAAAATCTAACATTTAAACAAACTTATAAAGACGACTGAGAAGATTGAACACAAAACGCCCCCAAAAAGAAAATCAGATTTTGCAGATTACAAACTGCAAGTCGTGAAATCTGCAGCTGAAAACGATAATCGAGCAGCAGAAAGAAAGTTTGGAGTGAGAGAGAAAATTGTGACACCGGGAGGATGAACCGTGAAACTTTCCTGAAGTCACTGGATGGATGGACAAAGCCTGGACTTCAGTGACACCGAAACCATCCTGTCGGGATTCAGAAAGACTCGAATAATTCTAACTGGAACTGATGCTGAGTCTGACGACAGCGACACAGAAGAGGAAGCGGCGCTCTGTTTACCTCCGGAGGTCGTGGAGTTGTTCAGAAGTGACACCGAGGATGAAGAATTGAATGGATTTAGTGATTTGGAGTGAGATGGAGAGTTTGTTAAACTTGTTCTGTTCTGTTGTTTATGTTATAGTTTATCTGAAGAACTGTTCATATGTGACGTTAACAGTCTGTTGTTCTCTCTTCTATTGTTTTTACTAGAACTTGACTTTCAAGAAATGTCAGTTCCTGGTCTCTGATTTTATAAAATACATTTCACCCCAAAAAAAGTGCGACTTATATATGTTTTTTTCTTTTTCATTATGCATTTTTTGGCTGGTGCAACTTATACTCCGGAGCGACTTATAGTCCGAAAAATACGGTCATCATTTAGTAATTTCCTGAACCACTACTTTGCGTTTTTACTTTTTTTGGCTACTTTACCCACCTCTGGTCAGTGCAAGTGCAGCCTCTGCAGCTCAGTGAGTGAATTCTGGAGGTTCTGAGCTTTTCACATGAGGCCTGTTCTGTCCATTTACTGAGAATGAGACAAACTTGGGGGCAACTCAGGTTCAGCAGTGACTGTACTTCCTTTTTTCACAATAGTGCAGGCTACAAACTGTACAAACTGTATGTCTGTGTTACGCAATATGCATTGTTTAACTGTTTTGTACGCCGTAGCTTTGGTATTTCCTTAAGTACAAGTAAACCTACATGATTACTGAAACATGCGAATGAAGGAAAACACAAATATCACCCATTTTTGATGAGGAAACAACATTATAACATGGCTAAAAGCTCCAGAAGGTTTTGCATAGGTTCTTGCACCAAATTTTGCACAAAAATTATACGTACACCGCAATTTTCGCAGCGTCTATCGTACATCTCATACGGTGCAGCCCTAATCCTAAAACCTTTGTGCCTAGAATGTGTCGTCCGGCTCTCTGCGGGACATGATGAGCTGCCTGCGCGGTCCAGACAAGTGCGGGACGCTGGCCGCCGCCTCCAGACCCGCCCCCGAGTCCAGTTTGGGGGTGGAGGTGCAGCGGGACCCCACCCCCCTCCCCATCAGGCTCCGCACGTCCCTGTGGAGCGCCGGGTCGCTGGGGATGGAGCTCAGGTGGACCCCCTCCATGCTCCCGCCTCCCCGGTCCAAGCGCGGGTTACTGGCGCTGCTCGGCGACTGCGGATCGGCGCTGAAGTACAACGTGGAGCTGGATTCCGTCGGGCAGAAGTACGGCTCCGGGCTGTCTCCGAACACGGACTTCCCTTCGGGCGAGCTGCGTTTGAAATCCGAGGTCGGGGTTTCCATGGGGCTCTCGATCTCCAAACTGTCCTCGTGTCCGGTCGACGAAGGCTCGCTCACGCTTTGGAACTCGTCCTTGCAGTCCGAGAGCGGCGCGATGCCTTTCTCGTGCGAATCCGTCATGGACACGCCCTCGCACGTCCCCCCCGCGGTGATGGTGAGCCCCTCGTTGCTCTTGAAGTCGTTGTACTCTTCCAGATCGAGGATGGCGGCCGCTCCCCCCTCCCCGTACGCGCGGTTGATCTTCCCCAGGTCTCCGGTCTTGAGCGCGAGCCGGATGAGGAGCCAGTGGTGGTGGTAGCACGGGCACGAGCCGCTGGGTTTGACGCCGGGGTGTTGGAAGAGCGAGCCAGGCACCCCGGACAGGGAGAAGCTGCCGTGGTTCTGGAGGGAGGAGGGCGCGGGAAGGCTCTTGTCGCCCAGAGAGAAGGAGGAGTCCCCCTGCTCGATGCACGTGCTGCCCATGTGGTGGCGCAGGCGGCCCTGGGAGATCTCCGTGGACTTGGGGTGGAGGAAGCGGTAGTACAGGACCAGGCAGATGCCACCTGGGAACGAGACAAATGTGGTTTAGTTGGATTTTCTGACCTGTTCTAATGTTGTTTCCTCATCACAAACAGACCTGGAGTTGTGTTTTGTTTCATTCACAAGTTTAAAACACAAACCCTGCAGATTTACACTGAGTTCTTCTCTCAAACTGAAAACACTCTTCTCCACCGCTTGATGTCATGTGATAATAAAGGACAGACATGTCAAACTCAGGCCCAGGACCCAAATTTGGTCTGTGATATAATTATATTTGGCCCACGAGATCATATCAAATCTGTATTAGAGCCCACAGGCTACAGATCGACTATAGAGACATTTTGTTATTATTTTACATTATGCTTGTTCTGGATTCAATGTTTAAGCAAAACTATTATTAAACATTTATTTTAATAAGAAAAGGTTTAACATTACATATCTCGAAAGAAGAGAAAACATGCAGATGTTGTTGAAATTTTTCAATAAATATTTAGTCTGGTCCACAACTTAGTCCCAGTTTTTAATTTTGGCCTCTGTGAATTTGAGTTTGTGTTTTTAATGCCATACAGCTTCACTAGAATCATTTGGATGATTTTAGCCCTAGAATTGATTATCTCGACTCAACAAAAGGTAAAAGGAGCCGTTAACTTGAAAATGCGTGTTATGGGGATGGGCATGATTAGTCGACTAATCGATAATTGATTATTAAGAATTTTGTCGATCATGTTCATTTTTAATCAACAAACTAAATGACAAAACCACTGGAGTTGTGCCTCACAGTCCCACATTTGGGCTCTGGCTCCTTGGAGACACTGTTCCGAAACTCAGTGAGTGTGTTTACAGCACATCAGTGTCCCCGGTATGAGCGGGTTTTTAGAGTGTCCCGGTTTGGTCATGGTGCTTGTAAACGTAATATCCCGGTTACTGCAACATAAAGTTGAGTCACATGCGTCAAAAAGACAAACACTTTTCAGTCTTTTCATCACAACAGAAGCCAAAATAAATAAAGTGACCAACATAAATAAAGTGACATGATGTTAAATAAAGAGCTGCACTAAGAGCTAAGAGCAGCACTTATAGTTTATGCAAATGAGCCATGCGGTTTTAAGTTTTGTTTCTGTAAAACATAAACAAATGTGTCAAAGCTGCATTAAACACATTATAATGTCAAACGGGCTGATGTGGCTCTAGAGTGTTTATGGTTTATATGTTGTAAAGTTGAGTTTATTTATGCAGATTAATAATAGTAATAATAATGATGATAATTTTAATATAAAAACGTATAGAGAATTGAAAAACTATTGTTAATTCTCCCGACCATTGATTAAGAAAACTGAATTGAATGCCCACCCTACTGTGCAAAATCCCTCAATCGTTTAGGTAGAATCCACAGCAAAAAGAGAAAATCAATTTGTCAAGTGGACAAAAGACCTGGGGGGGACTGGGCCTTCTCCGCTGCTGCCCCCACCCTCTGGAACTCCCTGCCCAAACACAACAGAGACTCATCCACACTCCCCATGTTTAAAAAAGCCCTGAAAACCCATCTCTTTAAAAAAAAAACAACTTTCATTAACTGTCTTTTTCTCTTGTTTGTCGTTGTTTGTCTTCTCATGTAAAGCGTCTTTGGGTATCTTGAAAAGCGCTATACAAGTGTTATGTATTATTATTAAAAGTTTATTTTGGCGCAATATGTTAACATAACGTAACATATCTGGCCTAAATAAACTTTTGTCCAATTGACAAATTTAATTTCCCCTTTTGCCATGTTAACTTGTAGCCAGCCTGGTGTCACTTAGTGTCTCCGCTCAATTTCATTTCTCTCCAGCGACTGGGTCAGGAATCAAAATACACTAGATGGTTCGCAAAAACCCCGGAAGTGCGAGTCCAGGCCCCAGCCAATCAGCAAAGAGTCATATATTCTGTGTTGTCAACGATTCCCAACATTGAGGATGTAAAGCTGGAATAAAGAGAATGTTTTAGTGAATTTTATCAAGGGGAAAGACGTTATTGTCCTTCTTCCTACGGAATTTGGGAAAAGCTTAATATACCAGTTAGACCTGTTAACGGCGCATTACATACGTCATGACCAAACAGCAGCGATTGGTTAAATGAAAAAAGAACCTGCCTACGGTTTCCACGAAGTGAAACAAAGTGAAACTGGCTGATGAATCAGGCTAGTTAACTTGAAAACTACCACTACATTACACTTCATGACATCACAAGGTGGAACAGAGCATTTTGAGCTTTGGAGATGTAGACAGAGTAATAATAAAGAGTGACTGAATGAAACAAAACACAACTCCAGGTCTGTTTTTGTGGAAGAAACAACATTATAACACGACTTAAAGCTCACGAGAGGCGATTTTGTGGACCTTTAACATTTTAATTTCTGTTTTTTCCACATTAATTTACGCTTTTTTACATATTCTTCTAAAACCCTGCACAGTGTGAACAATCTGAAGTCATTTAAAATCACATTAGTAACAGTTTCATGCCATTTTAATAGACTTTTGGTGTTAGATACATAGTTAGATTTACATTTGTCAATCAGTGCATGTGGTTTTGGAGCACAGTTGAGACATTTTCTTGTTTTTGCGATCTTATTAATTTATGTGGTTTGTGTTTGGTGTGTTCTCTCTTTTACTTTGTTCTCACGCGTGTGTTGCAAACGGAACTGAACTCAAACAGACCATTTCGGGAAGTACAACCGACCCAGCAGAGCGTTTCCTTCGAACACTATAAATAACCATTACTTATGCATATTGATACTTTGACATCACGCTGGGGGTGTGTATATGGTGGAAAGTTCAGCAGATTCTAAGATGACACAGTGCACACATAAGCAAACACTGACAAAAAAGTTTTATTATAGCCCGAAAACTAAAAAAAAAATACAAACGTAGAGTAAAACGGGACTTTTTCAGGAGGAGTGATCAGTCCGAGTCTCAATTAAACAGTTTTACCAACGGCAGAAATGACTAAATGTTGAAACTAAAAACATGTTTCCAACTCACGGTTTGAAATCAGGCACAAGTTTTTTACATAAAGGTCTTATATTGCACAAAATTGACTCTTGTTTAAGTCTTGTTATGATGTTGTTACCGCCTCAAAAACAGACCTGGAGTTGTGTTTTGTTTCATTCACACATGTCTAAGTAACCATTATTTATTATTATTTATTTATTGTTAAATTCTCTACATCTCTAAAGCGTCTTGTGATGTCGTGAAGTGGTAGTTTTAGTGCTGCTCGATTATAGAAAAAATCATGATCACGATTATTTTGGTCGATACTGAAATCACGATTATTCAAACAATTATTTTTTAGTTGCACGATGCATTTATCCAGCATTTCTTTGTTAAATAAAACACTTTGTTATTGATAATTTATGCAAAAACTTCCAAATTGTAAATAAATATAGGCTACAGATATGAAGCTTAGAGCAGTTTTGCGATGTATAAAAGATAAAATGGAAAAAATATACTTTGAACATGAAATAAGGCATAGAAAAACATAAAAATATCTAAAATAAACTATATATCCAGAAGTTACAATCTCTATATTTAAAAAATAAAATTAAATATACTTATTTATATAAAAAATATCCCAAAATAAACTAAATCATTTCAACTCAGTTATACAAGTTTGGAGATCGTCTGATACGCAGAAATCACGATTTTGTGATTTTTTTATCTGTGAAAGGTGATTTATAAATAAAGTCTTCCTTCCTTCCTTCCTTCTTTCCTTGTTTTCTTCCTTACTTATTTCCTTACTTATTTCCTTGCTTACTTCCTTACTTACCCACTTACTTATTTCCTTACTTATTTCCTTCCTTATTTCCTTCCTTCCTTACCACATCACATCTCAAAAGTAAAATCAGCCTAAATATGCAGGATCGTATATGCATGAACAAAACACAACTCAGGTCTGTTTGTGACATTCTAATGTAAACTACATTAGAACAGATCAGAAAACAATGTAACATGGTCCCTTTAATGGATTCATGTATTAGTATGTGACCTCGGTTTGTGCGCCTGGTGTGACTCACCCAGGAGGAAGCTGCAGAGCACAGTGGTGGGCAGGGTCATGTTGTCCCAGGACGCTTCACTGAGGAAATCGGACGCAGCCAGAACCAGCGTAGCGTTCTCCACCAGCATGAACTGTAACACAACAGCACACAGAGCCCGTCAGAGTACAGTCGTCCCTCACTATATCGCAGTTCACCTTTTGTGGTCTCACTGTTTTGCAGATTTTTTTAGACCAATTTTACATGCTTTTTTTTTTTTAAACAGTGTATGAACGTGCAATGTGTTCCTCCCCCTGCATCCTGATTGGCTAAGGGCCTGTGGATCATTGTCAATCAGTCTCCTCCGTGCCGCATCTCCCGTACAGTACTGAATGCGTTCAGATCGACAAAGTTAAATAAATGTTTGATCACTAGCAGTGTGATTCTGAAGAAGTTTTCTCTCCGACAAAACCCACAACGTCGACGAAACGTTCTGCACTGACAAAGGCTCCTGTGGTCGCACCCAAAAGACAGAGAAAGATGCTAAACACCGCACAAAAAGTTGGACTTCTGGACACGTTGAAGGAAGTGAGAAGCACTGTAGCAGAGTTCCGCACCAGGTCGAGTACCCACGGAGAAATAGCTGCTGAAACGGGCGGGTTTTGGCATTCTGGAATTTTATGGGCGGGTAGTGCCAGGTAGACCCCTGCGCCGGAACACCAGTCCTTTCTCCTGCGCTCACCCCCGAGCCCGTCCTGACAGCGAGTCCTGGTTCAGTTCTGGTTTAATTCTGTTTTAGTTCTAGTTCAGTCCTGGTTTTGTCTTGGTTCAGTCCGTGGCGAATGCAGCGCAAAAGTTTGATATAATCTCGGGTTAACGGGCAGGTGTGATGTTGTACTGCGCGGGTGCGGGTCTCCAAAAATGGACCTGTGCGGGACTCTGCGCTGTAGGACTCCATTACGGAATAAATGAATCTTCGGTTCATTACGTAAAGAAGGAGGAAAATAACAAAAGGACGACAGCAGCAATAAGTTTTAAGAAAGATGCAAAAAGAGTTGTAACTGTCCTGTGTGAGAAAAGTGTACAAAGTGTGTGCTGAGGGGTTTTACAGACTTAAAACAGATAGAATAATTGTAAAATATAATGTTGACTACTTCGCAAATTTCACCTGCGCCCGTCAGACCACACCATTCTGCACGGGGAGGACACTCTGACTTTGAGAATGCAGACACAGTGTCCCTAAGCTCTGCGCAGTACAGTCACAAAGACAAAGTACAGTAAATGCGGAACAGGAAAGCCAGCACTGTGCAAAAATATATGCCTAGATCGATAAAATCACTAAAGAAAATGTTTGTTTTTTTATATATACACAGAGAGACTTGAGGTAACAACACAAATCAAATTACTGTTGGTCTATCAAGTTTGCAGAGCCGGTTAAATATCCATTAGTCTTATAATAGCGTCTCTTTCCAGTCTCATGCATTATTCATTCACTCCACACTGTTTAAACCCCGAGGAAGACGAGTGGTAAATGGTCACGTTTTTATACAGCGCTTTTATACTTTCAAGGCTCTCAAAGCGCTTTACATCAAGGAACCACTCATCCATTCACACACACACGAGGTGGGTGAAGTGTCTTGCCCAAGGACGCAGCAACAGCATTCATCTGTGAGCTGGACCGACGATGTTTATGTCGAGAGCGGGATTCGAAGCTTTCAGATTAGTAGACAAACGCTCTTACCAACTGAGTTAGTGAATTACTTAATCACAACTGAACCATTACTGAGTATCGAATAATCTTTTTGGAATGTACACACTCTAAAACACCTTTTTCTTCGTCATGAAACAAAAATGCCAGAGAGATTCTCATTTTTTTAGCGGTCGCAAGAAACTGAGAAAGGAGAAGAGCTACGGCAAGTTTGGTGATTTGTCATAATTGTGGAGGATGTCTGAGATCTTAATCCCGTGCGAATGCGCCACGTCTGTAATTTGTAAAGTAAAAATTCCGCCTCAAATCACCCATTATACACCCCATATTTTGCTTAACACAGACGTTCGGTGATAATACTAGTCCTGTGTCAATCTGCAGCTCGATGTTTGTTGTTGTAATTGCGCCTTTTCTATTTCCTTTCTTTCCGTGTTCTTTTCTCTTTCAGTCTCTGTGTTAATGTCAGTAAAATAGAGAAATTTACGGACTTTGCTTATCCTGTGCGAATCCGCTGCAAATAACATGGAGGTGGATTTGCAGATTACCGTATTTTGCGGACTATAAAACACACCAGATTATAAAATGCAATATCAATAATGTTGAACACTCTCGGCTGTTTTCAGGCGTTGTCTCCCTGCCCTCCCTGTTTTGGTGAATGTGTATTATGACTATGAAAGTGGGTGGATCATTTAAGTTTGTTTTTTTATTTCCTACGAGGACGACTCAAATAAACATTGAGTAATAATGTGTTTAATGCAGCTTTGCACACATTTGTTTACATTTTACAGAAACGAAACATAAAGCCACATGGATAATCTGCATAAACTATAAGCTCTGAAAAAAACAGCTTGCTCCTTGTGCACTCATGCGGTCTGTAGGAGCCATTGTGACCTTTTATTTGGTGTTTGCTTGTTGCTTTGTCCTCCATCTACTGTATGGCAGTATGATGCCCTCCTTAACATATTTAAGGGCCAAGAAGGTGCTGCTGATTGGGGGTAAAGCGTTTTTGAACACATTGTTTGTATTGTGGAATATGTGGATGGCATTGGTAAGCCAATAAAGGACTAAGAATTTATCTGTGGATTTATATTACAAGCACGTCAGAACAGCTTTAAATCAGTAGCCAGGTGGCCAGTGGCGTAGGCTCATTGGCTGCTGCACGGTCAGCTTCTGTCGGACTTACTCCACGAGGCTCCTGACTACAGCAGCCGTAATGCTCCGACAATCCATCAAACGGTGCGGCTTCGTAGTTTACCAAAGTCGTACTAAAACATTTTGACAGATTTTTGAGCGCCGTGTACCACATAAAATCAGTTCGAGGTCAGTGAGCACAACCAGAATTAATACATAAGGCGCTCTGTCGATTTTTGAGAAAATTAAAGGATTTTAAGTGCGCTTTATAGTTCGAAAAATACTGTACCAGACGTCCTCAGGTTGTACTTATCCCATGTGAATAGGGCTTACTGTATTCTTCGGGCTATTAGACGCGCTCTTAAGCCTCCAACTCCATCAAAAAACGACCGCGCGCGCCACAATCCAGAGCGCCCTATACACGAATCCACTCGGGCGTCCCAGCACGACTTCAGTAAACTACAAAGCCGCAAACACACACGGAGCAGACAGCGACCGCGCGGCGACAAACACCCACAGACACACTCATCACTCCACGCTGACGAGGAACGGAACGGAGGAACGAACCGAAAAAGCGAGCGCAATGTGCCGCTTCTAGACACGACTGAACAACTGAGTCACTGCGAACACGCCGACAATCCGTTGGTCCCAGACACACCCTCCCTACACGCCACAACTGAACAAAGCCCAGAGTCACCGTGAACGAACAAACAAACAAAACCACTCACTCATCTAACTGTTGTGTTTCCTTTAAAGTCCGGTGCGGTTTACTTGTGAAAAAAGTTTGAAAATAGACCATTTAATGACAGTGCGTCTTATAATCCAGAGCGCCTAATAGCCCGGAAAATACGGTATGTATCAGACAAAGCAGTGCCTACAGTTAGGGAATGTGGATAAAGAACAGGGCCTGTGTTTCCAGACCGACAAAGTGCATCAAACTCCAGATGTTTGACGAAACTAGACGAGCGTGTGTCGAGTGCTTACGGCGTAAAAGCTGGCCATGCGGAAGCGCGAGGGGCCGTCCTTCACGTTGAGGAAGAGGAAGACGTGCACCAGGCCCAGCACGGCGTTAAAGGCCCTCCAGCACCAGGGGCCCGTGCAGATGTCCGGCTGCTGAGACACCAGCCAGAAGGACGCCGTCAGCCAGTGGAAGCCTGCGTCACAGAGAAGAGAAAACTACATTTGGGCCCAGTCAAGCAGAAGTAAACAGCAAGGCCAAAAACTCAAGTTAATGCATCTGATATAAAAATGTATTGAACAGATACATATGTGCTCTAGTTTATGAAACTGTTGACCTTTTTTCTGGACCATTTTTGGTTCTAAAGTTCCATACGTTTTAAACAGACCATGTATGAAACATGGAACAAAAATTATTTCCCAAATTTCAAAGACCTGCAAATCATGTAAATAAATGGATGTATTTCATCATATCTTGTGTTATTCCATCTTTGAACTGTTGATGAAGGTACATGATTTTTCCCAAAAAATTTATTTAAAATGATAAAAATTTGCTTGGAAGGACTGACATA